CCTCAATACTGTTTGGTCGGGCTTCCTTGCACAGAACATGATCCCTCTTTCCAAAAAATATCACCTTTTTTACTCGGTGGCTAGATCATTGCCTGCTATGGTTCACAAATTTTGTGATATCAGTGATTTGAGAGTCTGGAAAAATTGTTAAGATTTTTCCTAAAGAAGTTGATTGCTTTACCTACGATCACTCCCAATGTTATGTTATTATTAGAAACTAATGTAGACCTGCTGGAGATTTTCACATTAATGAAGCCGAGAATATTAGCGATTGAAGTAAATCAACAGAACTTCATGGTTCTAAACCTGGATCAGTCTTACTGCAAAGCATTCGTGCGAATTCAATCCGGAGTTTTCAGACTTGCATCTGTGGAAGGGGCAACTCTCCACATTATTAATTAAAATAGACGAGAATCATAGGGAAGAGGCTGCGACTAGGGCCATATCGTCGTCCAGGTTCTTGTTTTATAAGAAACTAAAGCCTAAACATTCAATCAGGGTTGTTTTCTGAAAATAATGAATTGCCCAGTAGTTGGCCATTTAGAGAGTCAAGATGGCTGTTCAAATTGAGAGGACTTTTGTATCTTAATAGACCAAGAAATTACCCGCTTTCTTTGTAACCTAAATGCAAGAGAGGATGTATTCCATTATTTAGCAATATGTCCTGTTCCTGCCGAGTTCCGTATGCATTACCTGGGTACTTACAAGCTTAGTGATTCCCAGCTCATTTCTCTTCTCGACTCCTATTGCCGACCACTCATTAAATTTGCACGTATTGTGTGGCATTATAGATAGATACTTTCTAGTACAGCAATTCAATTTTTAAACATTCTTACTCATTCTTAACAATGATTTGCATTTTATTTGTTCCCTTTTTGTCTTTTTTTTCTCTTTCACATGTTTATTTACACAATATTTGTATTTTTATCGTTAAGTGTTACATTATATTTTTTTTTTTTTGTAATTTTCTCTCTCTTGCTTTCTATATCTTTTATACTTGAAAATCTTCATATTCTGTCGAGGGAGGGGAGAGAGAGGAGAAGAGTATATTATATTATCAGGTCAACCTCCACCTGACGGAATGGAATAATTCCAAGCTGTAAATACTTGTCCTTCAATTCGAATGAATTTGATGTTCTTTCCGGAGTTTCTTAAGGCTCCCACATTGATCCAATTTTAACATCACTATTGCGAGGTAACAAGTGGCTGAAAAGATTCCCACATATCTTCAGGCTATGTATAGTGAGGACTTCAAAGCAGTTAGGGAAAAGATGAGCATTCTCAGGAGTTCCTGAGATCCCTGAGTGTCTTTTTGTCTGCTCATATGCACCCTCATGTGTTCCCACTACTACACTAAAAAAGAAAGAAATGTTTCTGGTGAAGTTCCATGAGGGCTTCCTTTTAACACCCTGTATTTCCATATCTTGAGGTCTGCTACTCGAGTCAACCCACCTCGGTTTCATACGCCGCCATGAGGTCCAGGACTACAGGACAAATATTCCTGTTTTATCGGTGCTTAAAATATCCAGCCGGAGTTCAGGTGCCCAGAGGGAAATTTCGATGGCGACCTATCACATTTCATCTGGTATCTGCCCTTCTCATCACATCCCAAGTACCCATTGAGTTGGCTTGAAGGCAGGGGCTGTATATTCCTAGACTTTTAATGAATCAAACATCTGTCTTGGAGCCATCGTCTCCTCACCACATAGCACTTTGATCCAATTTTAATCGGAATTTTATTAATGATCAGGCCTCCTGTTTTGCATTTAATAATTTTATTCCTCTCTTAATTATTAATATAGGCATTGTTCCATTGTCCAACACTCAACCACCTCCACCTCACTTCAAGCAAAATAAGATAGTACTAACTTTATTAAATACCCCCCTCACCCTAAAAAAGGATATTTTTATTTAAAAAAAAAAAAAATTATCTGCCTCAAAATATCTATTTGTCTGGATTGATCCCACAATAACTTTTTCTCCAGATTAGACTCTATCTGCAAATGAGCATACAACCTACTCAGATACACTAGTACTGTTTTGTCCCGCCGTTGAATATTCTAGTTTCTGGTCTCTCCCATATAATTGTTTATAGTATGATTGAAAAGGTACAAACCAAATAGTTAAAATTGCCGTAATTCTGCTGTAAATGCCAGTATATAGGTTCCGTTTATTTAAGTTGATTAAGTGGAGGTAAAGACAACCAATTTGCTTTCTTTTCTATTCTCTCAATAACATAATTGATCACCAGAATCATTAGCATATTTAAATTTGAATATCCTATCTGTCTGCTCACGAAATGTCCAATTATTCAACTAATTTAACTCATGCACCAACATTAGATACCCTTAAACAGGAATGATGGGCCTAGTTAATATTAATAGGCTGCCTGGAAATGTTGATTTTAATAATATTTCCTAGAATGAACTGAAGAAAATACTAACACTTCAATTATAATTTGTATCCATTAATCATTCTTTTTATCAAAGGTCTTGATTGAAATGAAAAAGTGAGTGAGAGCAGTGGCGTATTTAGCCGAAGGTTGTGGGTTTGAATCTCGCTCGTGACGTTAAGCTTTTCATCTTAATAAATACCTTATATGAAAAGATTAATTAATGGAAATAATTAATATCGTCAATTATAACCACTAAACATATATGGATTAATGTAATTTGTATTTTGAATTAGTTAAAAAACATTTTCTTTTTGTTTTGTTTTACACTGTTATATTTTAAATTGGGAATCCTTCATAGGGTCTGCAGGGTGATGTACCCCTAATGATAGTTAAGTCGTTTCTGATCGTTTTGGACTGCCTTTGACAACTAACTTTTTAACAATCTAATAAACATTATATTTTATGCTCTTGTAAAATGAAGCAAATGTAACGATAAAAACTGAATATATAGAATATTTATTTTAGTTATGAAATTTTATGAAAAATTTGCAATGTGTAGTTTGGTTTTTACCAATTGCTTAAGTAGAAGACTACCTCTTCCTTTTGTATTGGTCTGTCTGATAAATTTCGGCTTCTCACAATCTTCAAAGTGATGAAGAAGTCAGTAAATCGTGGTTGTATTGCTGACCGGATTAGCTTAAATGCATCCCATAGCCCAAGTCAACGAGAATAGACACACAAAAGGGATCAGAAACAACCAAACTACTGCTTTATTTTAATGCTCCTTATTTTTTCGCCTACTCTGATATTTTTAACAATATCGTTTATAGAGAAAAAAAAATTGGAAAAACAAACAACCTTCCCTTAGACTTTTTTTTCTCAAAATTTGCCCCCTTTACCAATTTTAGTTTTAACAGATGCCCCAGAGTTTGCATGAAAGAAATGCAGAATGTGTGTAACAATTTTTTTTGGGGGGGATGCATGTTAATCAAAATCAACTTGAAATCTATGAACGACAATATAATTCATCCATTTTATTTATTTGTTCTCTCAAGTTTTACAAAATTAAATATGAGTATTTATTAGATCAATCTATTATATTTAATTGTTTAAATATCAAAAATTAAAGTTGAATTTATTTCAATTAATTATTCTTTTTCATTAAGGTCTTGGTTGAGATGAAAAAGTCAGTGCCATGAGTGGTATTTGAATTCATGAACTTCGACTCAAAACGCCGCTGGTCTAGCCACTTGAGCTATCGTGACTTCAATTCACACGGACACCAACCCCTCGTCTCAACCTAAAACCTTTAGAATTTTTCCTGTTTTTGCCATTTTTCAAATGTCGCACAATCAGGATTCAATTCTCAGCAACTTATGAAGTGGCCAAGGAGAGCTGTTAACGAAATGATAACTTCTTTAATTAGTATATTAATTCATACATGTTTAGTGGTCAAAATTGACCATATTAATTTTAATTAATTATTCTTTTTTGCTAAGGTCGTGGGCTCGAACCCCGCTCGTCATACTGATTGTCATCTCAACCAAACCTTAGCGGAAAACAAAAATTAATTGAAATAGTTAATATGGTCGATTATGACGGTAAACTTGTACGGATTAGTTGAATTTATTGTTCATGGAATCAAGTCTAAATTATCAGAAAATTTCCTTTGTAAATAAACCATCAGGCCTTTGGCATCGTACAAGTGTTTAGAACAGTAGAAACTGGCTTCTTGGGAATTCTGTCAATGTTGGCACGAGGATTATATTTAATTGACAGGTAACTGTGGCAGATAGCATATGCCTATTTGCACACTTTCCACTGCCTGTCATAAATTAATATTACTTCAATTTTTCATCTTTTATTTGCACGGCTTTATTGTTAGAGGTAAGAGGGAGTAAATTTTGTTTTTCGTATTACAACACTTTTCGACGTTTTTGTTTTTAAGTAATCTTTTTATTTTAATTTTTAATAAAATAATTTATTTTTATGACAAGTTAATTTTTTTCATTGCATGAATTATGTATATATGTAGTGATTTTTTTGTTATACTTATTACTCTCAAACATATTTGTTTTGGTTGTTTACAATCATCATCCTCAATGGTCTGCTTATGGTTGGTTCTGTCAGATGCATTTTAGCCTTTGGCCATCTTCAGTGGTTGGTCAGGGTGTCATTAACTCAGCGCATAATTTCACTGAAGGTGGTTTAGCCATCTAAATGGGTGAGAACGCCTGACAGACCAAAATGGTTAGAAAAGACTAACTACAGGTTCATCACTATGCAAACTACAAGAATAAATTTCACATTAAATCTCTACTTTAACAGGGTGAAATTAAAAATGCATCCAAAATTTTAAATTACCAAGAAGAATTTGTATATATTATAAACTTCATAATATACAATTTAAACCCAATGGTCGAGTGATTAGGATATCCAACTTGTTCTAGGTTCACGACTTTAATTTAATGAAGAGAAAAAAAGTATTTTAAAATTTTATGACCACCCAGTATGACAGGAATTACTTAAATTGATAATTTGTGGGAATGTATTTTTCTGTATTTATATTTATCATGTAATTAAAAATGTACCCTTCTGATTTTAGGAGTTGAAGTGTGAGTCAAATAAGACGTAAAAATGCAATCTACAAAAGAAGAAAATGCCAAAAAGAAGAACCTTCGGGCTCTTGCCAATCCACTTTCTGCGGTCACATTTAGGTATGTTACAATATTGCAATAATGATAGTGTAAACATTAGTCAACAACAAAAAACTGATAACAAATTATAGTTCAACACATACAGAAAACCAACACACATGCATTCAAGCTGATTCAAAACAAACATACACACACACACACACACACACACACACACATACACACATAGAGGCACAAAATAGCCACAGTACTAATAAGAAGAACAATCATCATCTATCACATTTTTCGTGGTTGATCAGGGTTATAAGTAGGGTGTGGCTGAATGACAACAAAACAGTGAGGTCAAATATTTCACGCAATAGTATATTTTTCTATGTATATATANCCAAAGAAGTTGAATTTTTTTTACAAATTTTTAATTTATCACTTTTTAGAAGATTTAGTGTTTGTTAGGAAATTTAATGCTCTTTTCACTGTTTTTTAATTTTATTTATTTATTTTTTATTTCCCCACAGATGAATAGTATAGAGCTACAAATAGATTGTTAGCAAAAACCGTAGATTGTTGGGGGAAAAAAAAAGTTGAATATCTGCGAAAGGGTTGAGAATCGCACCATGTTTCATACGAACTTTTTTTGTTGCCTTTGAGGTGTGCAATTCACTGGCAAAGTTAGTGACTCCCTGTATAATGTACATTTAGACTTTGATCTGACTTCTGACTTTCGACTTTAGACGCTTAGATGATATGATGATATTAAAACTTAGGCTTTCTGATGGGTTGTTGGCCACTATTGACCTCTTGACTATTGACTATTGGTTGTTTTTCTTGACAATTCTTTCTTTTTTTCGTCTGTTCAGCTCCAAAGATTTTTGATTGCCATGTGTTGTGGTTTTATATTGACCTCTGGAGTCTTCCACGGATCAACCATGTTAAATATTTGGGGTTGAAAGCATGGAACTTGGAAGATTTATGGTCAACTTTTTGTGTGAACTGTTTATCAATATCTTCAGACTTTAGATGACCAATATGTTTAAGATTTGGGTTTTAAACTTGGAGTGTAGGAGAGGTCTGGTGAATTGTTGATCAATATTGACCTTTAGGCCATCTTCATTTTTTAACTGATCAAATATGCTAGTTTTGTTTGGATTGTAACATTGAGGTGTGGGCCACTAATTATTTTGCTTGAAAGTATCCAGCAATGTAGAAGTTTGGATAGTGGTAAATATTGACCTCAGAACTATCCAATTTTCAGTCAGAATGGATTTTTGCAGTTGTAGTGGGATTTACAGGTTGTTTTTCTTGACAATTTGTATTTTCTTCTGTTCTGCTCCAATGATTTTTGATTGCCGTATGCTTTGGATCAATATCGACCTCTCGAGTCATCCACGGATCAATCATGTGAAATATTTGGGTTGAAAAAGCATGGAGCTTGGAAGATTTGAGGTCAATTTTTTGTGTGAACTGTTTATCAATATCTTCATTCTTTAATTGACCAATATGTTGGTTTTAGACTTGAAGTGTTGAAGGTGAGCTGCTGATCAATATTGACTTTGATCTGACTTGATCATTTCTTACTTAAAAGTACAGATGAATATGATGACTGTTCAAGAGATACATAGACTCTCTTGTGGAGGCTATGTAACTTCTGTATTTTTTTAAAAAATTTCTCTTGTATACTTTAGTACAAGTAGAGAAAGGAGGTATATCCAAGTGAAACGAGTGGTGTCACTTTTTAACTGAAAATCCCCCCCCCCAAAAAAAAACAACTTAAAAGTATAGATTAATGTGACAATGAAACATTTGATTTGTCTAAATCATATAATTAACAAAAAAGATTAATTAAAATTTCAAGAAATTTATGTTTTCTGTATAAATGTTTTCAGTTGGACTCTGCCCCTTTTCTGGCAGGGCTTTAAGCGTGAACTCCTCGTCGATGACCTGGCCGAGCCGCTTGATGAACACTGCTCTTCGAAGCTGGGTGATAAACTCGAGAAGTAATCTATACGATATTCCCCCCCCCCAATATTATTACAAATAATGTTATTTTACAATTGTACAGGGCCTGGGATGAAGAGGTCGCCAAATGTAAAAATACGCAAAAATCACCTAGCTTCCTCAAGGCAATTTTGAGAGTGTTTGGTTGGCGGCTCTTCTTTTATGGTTTCTTCATAGCCACAGCAGAGCTCGGGGCTAGGTAAATCTTACACTTTATTTATTACATTTTATTTTTTCAGGTTTTTTTTTTCTTGTGCTTTCACATTACGTTTGTATTAATTATTATATTTCAAAATAACTGTTTTTAGATAAATTTTTGGCTAATACTGCTATTGATTAATTAAGAAATTAACCGAGGATCTTGCTGCAACAAATTAAGCGATTGAAAGCACAAAGGTTTTTTAAGACGATAAAATTTGACCTAATTTTTTTAAATTTTATATCTATGATTATTATTTTTAATAAATAAATTATAAATTTACTGCCAGTAAAAGGCAAGCTTATAAATAAATATAAGAAGGTTTTTAAATAAGAAAACAATAATCAATAGCAACATCATCCCTTAATATTGCAAAATCTCTTATTAGAAATTATTCTAATAATCAAAATTATTTAAATTATTTAACTTTTTAATTATTAATGATTATGTGCACAATCTTGTAGAGTTTAGATGTAAAAAATGAAAAATATATAAAACAAATCCCCAAGTCCAATTGTTATTTCTGAAAGGTAGTTATTTAAATGACAACTCATTTGAGCATTTGATTAAAATGTGCCTACAGGGTCGCTCAACCTCTTTTGTTAGGACGTCTTATTGGATGCTTTACAACAGGCCTTAATGAAACGTTAAATGAGGCGTATATGTTTGCAGTGGGAGTCATTTTGTGCACAGCGTACACAATATTCATAACCCATCCATACATGATGGCGATAATGCACATCGGTATGAAATTACGCGTTGCCGCATGTTCCGTCATGTATCGCAAGGTTTGCTACATGGTTTCTTTCTGTCTTTTGATCCGTTCACTGATTTGATTCTTGGCTTAAGGCGCTGAGGCTGAGCAAGATGACGCTGGGCCAGACCACTGTCGGAAAGGTCGTCAACCTCATGTCAAATGATGTCAACCGGTTTGACATCGCCTTCCTCTTCGTTCACATCCTTTGGATCGGACCCGTACAGACGATCATCGCCACATATTTCATGTGGAATGAAGTTGAATGGGCTGCCATCATCGGTCTAATTTCTCTTTTCATTTTCATCCCCTTTCAAGGTAGGCTAATCTGTTTTTCTCAACATTTCACTTCTTTTTTTTTTCTTTTTTTCAGTTTAACCCCTTTTTTTTAACCATTTCTCCTTATAATAGTTCAAAATGAAATCAATTTCAAAGCTTTTCTTCCATAAATTTTTGTGTAGACTCATTTATCAATTGTCCACATCACATCATTGTTCCTGGCTGTGAGCTGTTTCATAATTTTGCAACTACAATCAATTTTTATTTAACAATTTCAACTGCAGAATATCACATAGTTTTATCATTGCATTTGTAATAAACCATAAGAAAAGTAGAGCTGGAATTGTAAAAGATTAATATTTTTGTACCATGATTGAAATTACTGAATCTAAGGCAATTTTTTAGGATGAGTTTACACGGAGCAGTTTTTGTCGAGTTGACAATTTTTGTCGACAAACGATGTCCAATGTTGGTTCAGCATGTCACTAGGTTGCTCGACCCTCCTTGGCAGTTTCCAACTATATCAATTATAAACATGGACCTCAATGATGAAGCCTGTTTTAGGTTTAATATTATTATGTCAAAGAAAAAATGAGGAAAAGAAAAGTTGCATGTTGGTCCATCCCATATTATCAGATTGTTTGAAAGAAAGGGTCGTTTTGATATGTTGTGTCCTCAATAAAGGTGGACGAAGTTTTTTTAAAATTAATTGATTAATTTTTTTTATTTTACAAGGATATCTATAGTTTAGAAGGACTGTATGTGGGCTTCATTACTTACTTTATCTAGCCCATACAGTTAACAACATTTAATTTATATTTAAAAAAAAAATCCTGAAAACTTACCTTAACCAAAGCTATTCAGGCCACGAACAGTGAGAAAAACACCATCTCAACAACACCTCTGTAAAACATCAAATGATGGGTTGAAGCGGCCTCGGTGCCATTTGCTTGCCGTCGGTAAAATCATGACAGTTTTGATGCAGCATCATGGCTAGAGAGCCCACGGTGTACATCCTGCTTTGAACTGATGGAACAATCTGTCAAATCAACAAAAACCGCTCCTTGTGAATTTATCCTTAATCTCAAAATAACAAGTAATTTTTGAGGAATTCTTCTTACCCTTCTCTGTAACTCGCTCGAATTGTTTTTATTTGCATTTTTAAATATTGTATCCAGTAATAAAACAGTATTGGTAAAAGGCGATCCTTTGTCAGAGAAAAACCTGGGCTAAGTAGATAACTTTACCTAATAAAGGACCTTTTGTTCATTTACCTTTCTAGGTGTGTCAGGATGTTTTTGACATGCTTTATTTTTGTCACCAAATTATTAAATAAACTGTCCCAATATGAAAAAGCAAAAAGTTATGTTTAATGTTTGTTTTTCCCCAGTAATAATTATTGGTTAATGCTTGTTGTTATACATTAAATTTCAATTAAATGTTCTCTGTTTATCAAGCTTTCCTTGGGAAAAAGATCTCCCATTATAGACAGCGAACAGCCGCTCGGACTGACGAACGTGTCCGCCTCATGAATGAAATCATTTCTGGAATCCAGGTGATCAAAATGTACACGTGGGAAAAGCCGTTTGCCAACCTTGTCTCAGAGGCTAGGAAGTAAGTAAAGCACATTGATTGAATTAATATTGGGTTGTCCGGAAAATAATGCAGGATTTTGGTATTAAACAAAAAAAAAGAAACTAGTTACTTTAAAGCAATGTTCTTTAATCAAAATAATTTCCCANCATACAAATGAGTAATCCTGTAAACGTAAACAGAATATTTTATATAGATTTTTTTTAATGAAAACTTAAAATCCTGCATTATTTTCCGGACAACCCGATAGTAAAGTGTTGATTTAGTTTAAATTATTGTATTTTTTTAAATTGTATTAAAAGGACCTTACTTATAGCTAAATATTATAACAAACTATTTATAACTTGATAAACTAAATTTTTTGGTAAAAAGTAAGATTATTCACAATTTACAAGTTAAATTTTTTAGTAAAAACAAAATAAATAAATAAATAAAATACCAGGTAATTAGAAAAGTTCATTTGTTTTTTAATTTGTTATTATTTGAATACTGTTAATCAAAAATTCAATTTAAATAGGAGGATTGGGTGTTTACGTCATGTATTATTTATGAGGATAAAAAAAGTAAAGTAATTATCTTTCAGTATGGCTTGACTACCCGTTGGGTTCGAGGCCGAGGGTCAAACCACTTTAAAATACATTTTTCATACTATTTTCAATTAAAAAACCATGGGCTCTGCCGGATTCGGATTCGAGAGTTCTGGGTAGAACCGCTAGCAAATACGAGATGGACACCCTAACCACTCGACCACCTGTCCCCTTTAGTGATCCACATCATCACTGTCTGGACAAAATATATGTAAAATATTTCCTTTCTCATCGCTTCAAACCCAGTAATTTGCACGGACTTATTATTCATATTCAAGCAAGGTACTAGGATGCCTGAGACATTAGTGGCCAACTGGTTTTGCATTGATCCAGATTTCAAGCAGTAAATGCTCATCATCAGACTGCAAGTTATATACATGTACATATTTCATTCAGGTTGTAAACAGTGGTATACTGCCTCTCGGTGATTCCCAATAGTTTATTAATTAATATTTTTATAAGGGAGTAATTTAATACTGAGCTGCTGAGGTGGTTGTACCCTCTTGCACGCTTACCCTAATTGTAGCTGTAAATGATGGTTATATTTATTTATTTTTTTTAATACAGAAAAGAAATAAAGTACATATCCAAATCATCGTACATAAGAGGAATCCTTCTGTCGTTTATTGTTTTCCACTCCAGAGCCAGCATATTTTGCACAATCATCGCTTACGCCCTTTTTGGAAACAATATCTCAGCCGAAAAGGTTAGTTCCTCTTAACACGAAAAAATGACCATTTTGTTAAATAAAGTATATTTTTAGGTATTTGTTCTGGCCTCATTTTACAACACGTTGAGGCAGACGATGACGGTCTTTTTCCCACTGGCCATCACTCAGACTGCGGAAGGAAGGATATCTGTCAAGCGTATAAGGGTAAAGTTTCAAACAGCGCATTATTCGTTTAATTTATTTTAATTTGTTTTTATGAATGTTTGTAGGAGTTTTTACTCTTGGATGAATTTCAAACGAGCAAAGATTGTGTCACGTTAGAGAAGAACGGCGACGTCTTGTCTTTTGACAAAAAACAGACTCCCGAACGGTATGTTCATCTCCTGAAAGAATATGACACGCCTTGTGTTGAGATCAAAAACGCATCGGCTAAGTGGAACGAGAACAACGAGACTTTGAACAACCTATCTTTAGATGTTTACCCAGGAAAGCTGACTGTCGTAATCGGTCCTGTCGGCAGTGGGAAGGTAAAGTCAATTCAAATTTATTTAAAAAGTTGTAATATCCGAGGGTGTATCAAAATATAAACAAACTTTTTTTTTCTGAGGGCGTAATTTTGAAGTGAGCTTTTAGAGTACATTAGTTGGAATGTCATCTGGTTCTGATCTATTCTGCCAGGCAATGCATTATTGTTAAATCACTCATGAAAACTAGTGCAAATTGTTCAAAAAATTGTCCGTTCATTTTGAGGAACCTATGACTCAACTGTTGTTTGCCTGAAAAAAGTTCATGGAAGAAAACGAACAGGTGGAAAATGAAGAACACGACTGCCATCCTTGGACCAGCATTGAAAAAGAAAATACTCATGCAGTTCAACACCTTCAAGACGATAGACATCTGAATAACCGAAAGACAGAACGGATTCAAATAATCTCATGGAACTGTAAAAGCATCATACCACATGACCTAGAGTCCCATAAAGTGCTTGCCAGATGAGCCCTTTTGACAGCAGAACACAAGTCTGGATGTTTGCATGTCTGCCAGGAGCTTTCAGCATGCTTTGACACCAACCTCCTGACCAATCTGACCTATCACTCTGAGATTTTTACACCTTTTAGCACCTTAAAAAAGCACAGTGAATTACAATCCTCTTTTTTTATGATGCTGGGATCTAAAACCTCCCAATCGACTGTAAAATAAATCTATTTCCAATCAGGAGGTCATTATGAGAAAAAAGTGTATGCTCGGTTATTTTATAACACCAAAGAAATTAAAAAATAGAAAAAAAAGTCTTTTGTATGTGATTTACTTTCTTAATATTTCTCTACCTAATTTTGCATAAATGCTTTATTTAGATGTTATTAAATATTTCTTCTGGTCATCCCATACACCGAGAGTGTATTTGAGCAAAATTAAAAAGCTTTAATAATATTTTCTTTTAGTCTTCCCTCCTCTACATGATCCTGAGGGAGCTGGAGTTGTACAGCGGTTCAATGAAGGTTTGCGGGAAGATGTCGTACGCTTCGCAGGACGCCTGGCTCTTCCACGGTAGCGTCCGGCAGAACATTCTCTTCGGTGAGGAGTTCAACAAGGAGAAGTACAAGAAGGTCATCAGAGCCTGCGCACTCAAAACGGACTTTGAACAGCTTCCTTTCGGCGACAAAACCATCGTGGGTGAGAGAGGCGTGTCACTCAGCGGTGGACAAAGGGCGAGGATAAATTTGGCAAGGTATCCTTATCTTTTTGTTATCGATTGTTTAAATATTTTTTAATAATAATGTTTCTACTTTTAAAGAGCTGTTTATAAGGACGCTGATATATATTTGCTCGATGACCCCCTCTCTGCAGTTGATCCTCATGTCAGTAAACATCTTTTTGAGGACTGCATCCAAGGTAGAATCTATCCAACAAATCTTTTTAATAAAAGAGTCAAACTTTTATCCTTTTTTTTTTTAAATCTTGTTTTTCAGGCTACTTGAAAAGTAAAGTTGTTATTTTGGTTACGCACCAGCTTCAATACCTTGAAAAAGTCGATCAGATCATTTTACTGGAAAATGTAATATATTTAATATTATTTGTACACTTTAATAATATTATTGGGTTGTCCGGAAAATAATGCAGGATTTTAAGTTTTCATTAAAAAAAATCTATATAAAATATTCTGTTTACGTTTACAGGATTACTCATTTGTANTTGATTAAAGAACATTGCTTTAAAGTAACTAGTTTCTTTTTTTTTGTTTAATACCAAAATCCTGCATTATTTTCCGGACAACCCAATAATACACTCAAAAGACAAAGAAAATAAAAACGGACACTTTATTTATGTGTTTATTTTCAATAACTGGGTATAAAGATTAATAATTAGTCTTAAATCATAAACACAACAATAATAACATGTTGACCTTTAAAAATAAAGAAATTCAGTTCAATTTCATCCTTTCCAGAACCATCTTGTCAAGAGGATTAATTTTTTTTCTTTTTTTTTTAATGGCTTTCTTTGATGAACCAATAAATTTGAGTAAAAAAGTAATTATTAATTTTATTATCTTAAAAGAATGAGCATAATGCTTTGGTCAATGACAGGCGTAGTGTTTGTTAGATAGCACATCAGGTGTGCTGTACTGGTCTACAGCGGTTTAGGGTCACCAGAAGTCTTGATTGAAGAGAAGGTAATGGTCGACCATGATGCACGTCAGCTAGAGTTGAATTTGTTGTTGTTACCGCAATATGGAATTTAACGGCTTAAATGTTTAGACATTTGAACACTGAGGGCTTTTATCTTCACAGATGAGTATCGGGTTCAATGCTGGACTGCACTGAGGTATATTGAGGAAGTTTTGGCCCCATTTATTACATCCATTTTTGTGTTAATGCCCGATAATGCTCGCCAGCACGTTCCCTTCGCATGAATCCGAAGAACACATGGGACATGATAAAGATGCGGGTTAGACCGTTCACTGCCTCCAACAAGTGTTGAACATCTTCAAACCATTCTTAATGAAGAAGGGGATTCTGTTTCACTAGACAAAATTCATTCACTTATTTACTCAATACCTACGAGAATTAAGGCAGAGAGGAATTAATATGCGCTATTAAAAGCAAAACTGGGTAACAAATTATTAGTTAAATTTTAATCCATCATTAAATGATTTTTCTGTCAAATCATCATAATTCAATTTTTATTAAAATTCATAAATTTCTGATCTCGTTTAATTTGGTTTACATTAAAATAAGTGTGTTGTAATTAATATAATAACAAAAATACGTATAGTTTGAAATAAACGACAAAATATGAGTGTCCATTTTTTCTTCTGAGTGTATAACAACTTTGCCGTATGGCATTATTTATAATACAATTTAAATTTGAATAAATTATATTGGGGATTTTTAGCGAATGTCAATCCCATATCCTTTAATGTTTTTTTTTCTCACTTAAGGGTCATGTAAAAATGAGTGGTAGTTACACCGATCTAAAAGAATCTAAACTGGATTTTACTGGTTTCCTCAATACAGAGAGCAATGAAGATGATGAACTTATAGATGGACCTCGACGACTTAGCAGACAATCTTCTATACATGTAAGTTAATTTTTTTTTAAATTTTTGTTTTTACGTTATTTACTTGTTTATATTTTTAGAGCGTGGCTTCTTCAATGAATGAGGACAGATGGAACGGGGAGCCTGTTGAGAATGTCGAGTATCAGATGAAAGGTTCTGTGAGCAGCAAGATCTACTACGCTTACTTCAGAGCCGGCGGCGGGATGTTCATTATCTCTGTAGTGCTTATGCTGTTCTTTTTTGTACAAATTCTGGCCAGCGGTGGTGACTATTGGATAACACATTGGTAATTACTTTTTTACTTGAAAATTCTCTTATGTATTTCGATAAGTTTCTGAAATTGAAATATTTAATTAGTTTGATTGCATAAAAAAAGTTACTGAACTTAATTTAATAGGGTGAACCTCGAGGAGGATAACATTTCCCAATCTGATAGAGACTTCTGCATATATGTTTTCACCGCCCTCATCGTCTCCACGGTCGTGTTCACTTTGATCCGATCTTACATGTTTTTCTACATGTGCATGAGATCGTCGACGAACCTTCACAACCAGATGTTCAATGCTCTAACACGCACGACAATGTGGTTTTTCAACAATAACAGCTCAGGTAAAAAAAAATCAATAAAAAAAACGCATAGTAGTACAACTATAAAAGATTTTTTTTTGTAGGCCGTATCCTCAATAGATTCTCAAAGGACATGGGTTCAATTGACGAGCTTTTGACAGCAGCACTGATCGATGTTTTACAAGTAAGTTTTAGTCCTAAATTAAACTTTTCCATTATTATATAAATATTATTCTAATTGCAGATTTTCATCACCTTATTCGGTATTATAATCGTTGTGGCCACTGTGAATCCGTGGCTATTGATCCCCACAGCAGTATGCGCCATCATTTTCTATTTCTTACGTATTTTCTACTTGTCCACTTCGAGGAGCATCAAAAGACTTGAAGGGATCAGTAAGCAAGATTATTTATTAAATTTTTATAATTGTTATTTTTTTTATTATTATTTTTTTTTTTTTAAAGCTCGTAGCCCTGTCTTCACCCATGTGAATTCTTCTATGCAAGGACTGACGACAATTAGAGCATTTGGAGCACAGAAAATCCTAATAAAAGAATTCGATTATCACCAGGTATTTTAATGTTGACATTTTTTAATATTATGGACTTACAGGGGCCACTAAGGGAATAATTAAAAAACATTCTGGGTTTAAATCCCAGCATAACATTTAAACTTTTTGACAATTAAAAAAAAAAAAAAAAAAAAAGTATTGTAAATTGGTTCTGACCATCAGGTATGGACTTATATTTCTCTTTTAAGTTAGCCAAGTAAAAACAATTGTACAGTAAATTCTCCTTAATTTTTTTTTTTCAACGAGGGTTTGCATCAGCATAGGTCATAATTGACACTCGGGGTGCCGGTAAAAATCCATTTCTAAGTAGGTCAGGTATGAATGCAAGGCCAGTGGATTCAAACCTAGGTCTACCTTACAAGGATGAGCATCGTGTCTACGCCTAACTGTTGACTGATGACTCCCACTGACGCCACCCTAAATGTATTTTTTTGTTATATTGATTTTTAATTCAGTGGTTGCTGTTTAGTCCGTTTTCGAGCTATTCTATTGAAATTTTGCAAGTCGAACCTAATAGGCCTTGACTGTGTCTTTGATGTAATGGTATGGTATGGCATGGTATGGTGGAAAGGATACTAGGAAGCGGGGTTTGTATTCCCCAGGCTCTGAAGCCTTCTAGCTTATTGTACTTTTCTAGTTCCTTAGCTCAGTCAATAGACTCAACCCTTCTTCTTAGAAGTATCAGGTCATTGACTGTTGTTGCTGCAATTTGATTCCCTAAGTCTTTTCCGTACGTTAGGTTAAACCTCCATTGAGCTGTTGTTTCGCATTCGAAGATGATTTGAGTGGCTGTTTCCTCCTCCTCGTTACATAATCTGCAGATGGGATCATCGCTATATATACCCATGTTGTGTAGATGTTTTCTCAGATACCAGTGACCGGTTAGTAGTCCCACCACTCCTCTGAGTTTTGCCCTCTCAAATTGCAGCAGTGTTTTTGCCAATCTTGGTGAGGGTTGTTTCATCATAAGTTTACTGTGTCTAGCACCGCTAGAGTTTATCCACTTCTCTTCTTGTTTTGCTTGGATCCATTCTGTGATGGAGGATTCTATGTTTGTTTTTGTTATCCCAAGGATAGGTTCGGGGCCTATGTATGGTCTTGCAGATACTCCTCTGGCCAGTTTGTCTGCTTCCTCGTTACCCAAAATTCCCCTACGCCCTGACACCCAAGATATCATCAGGTTGTTGTGTTTTCCCAGGTTTTGGAGATTTTGGATACATTCACTGACTAGTATTGATGTAATTCTTTTACATCCCAATGCTTTAATAGCTGCTTGGCTGTCTGATCTTATGAGGATTTTTTATCAGTGTAACCTCTTCTAAGATTTTCCAGGGCACAAGCAGTGATGGCATGTATTTCTGCTTGAAAGACCGAAGTGTACTTCCCTAATGAGTTTGATTGCTCATATTTTGGGCTTGTACAGAAAACGCCTGATCCGGTTCCTTCGTTTGTTTTGGAGCCATCTGTGTACCATATCATTGTATCTGATGCTCTCCTGTGTTCTTCCTCTCCTTTATAGTCTGTTGAGACTTTATAGGAAGTTTTGAAGATTGTTTCTGGGCTTTGATGTGATAAAACATTTCATTTCGATTATGCATTGCGGAAAAAAAAGGAGGAATGGGAATTTTATTTTTTCCAAGGGCAATGGCATTTTTAGCCGACAAACAGGATTCTTCCTCCCTTAAGCAGGGAAACACACTTGACGCAATACAACACGACGCTACACGACACTTTGTCTCGTTTTGGTAGGGTGTGCACATCTGTTCGATGTCAAGCACATACATTCACACATTTTGTATCATAATTGCAACGCCTCTTTTGCTCTTAATGCATTATTTTGAGCAGAACCAAGTAATAAATTGTTGGTTAAATTTTAGTTTTAAATAAAGTTATTCCGGTGTTTTGATAAGTTTTCTGCCTAACCATCATAATTAAATAATTTTTATAACAACATGAATTTTTGATCACATTTAATTTGGTTTAGATTAAAATAACCAGGTTGTAATTAATTTAACGACAATAATACATATAGTTTGAAATAAAAATATGAATGTTTGGTTCTTTTGTGTTTGATTGTACTCAATGATACTCGATGAAAATCTGCACTGTGGGGAACTTGGTTGCATTGTGAAGTGAAGAGTAGGGTAGCATAGCGTAGCATTCATCTTACATTTTATATTAAGTTGTTTACATTTAGCCGGATCCGGCAAAAAAACTAAGCCTGGCATTTCCGTCGGACATTTTGTCCCTGTGGAGCACTGGCAAATTTCCCGGACTGATGTAATGTGAACGAGCTCGCATCTGCATCAACACGTCGAGTCATTTTGGCATTCACATTCTTTAGGTCAGACTCATGTACGTTCATATGGGAAGACGGCAAAAAAAGTTCCAGAATTTTTAAAATTTAAAAAATTGTCGTTCAGCTGAATATTTTTAAAAATTAAAGACCTACCACAGGTCTTGGATTTAAAAGGCTGAGAAAATATACATTTTCAAAGTTGGCCATTATTTCGTACAAAAAACCAGATAGCGGTTTTTTATTTATTTATTTTTATTTTATGGGCAGTGTACTATATATTCTGTTTAAATATAGGATCTACATTCATCAGCATGGTACTTATTCATCGCATCAAGCAGAGCGTTCGGTTTCTGGCTTGACTTCGTCTGCCTGATTTACATAAGCCTTGTCACCTTGAGCTTTTTGATTTTTGGAGGAGGTAATTAGTCAATATCTACTCTTCTAAGTAAATGTCTTATGAAAAATGGGCAATATTACAGAGAAATATGGTGGCAATGTCGGTCTGGCTATATCGCAATCAATCGGTTTGACCGGTATGTTCCAGTGGGGCATGCGGCAGACAGCGGAGCTAGAAAATCAAATGACTTCTGTTGAAAGGGTCATGGAATACACTTCACTCGAGCAAGAGCCCCCACTTGAATCTCCACCAGGTAGATTTTTTTAAAGTACATCATTTAAAAAAAAAAAATTCAATTCACAATAATGTTTTCTAGACAAAAGACCGAAAGAGAGTTGGCCTGAGAATGGAAAAATTGAGTTTAAAAATCTCAGCCTGCGATACAGCCCCTTAGACCCCTGGGTCCTTCGAGACCTCAACTTTACTATTGAGCCCAATGAAAAAGTAATTTATTAAATAAACATAAGTTTTTAACTTTATAATTTATTCATTATCATTCGTAAGGTTGGAATTGTTGGACGGACAGGAGCCGGTAAGTCTTCGCTTCTTTCAGCATTGTTTCGTCTATCCGAATTGGACGGTAAGATCATCATCGACGGAGTTGATACGTCTGAAATAGGCTTGCACGAGTTGAGGTCAAAGCTCTCAATTATACCACAAGAGCCGGTTTTGTTTTCTGGTACGCTCAGGAAAAACCTGGACCCTTTTGACGAATACAATGATGACGTCCTTTGGAGCGCTATTGACCAAGTACAAATACAAACAAAATCATTTTATCCACTGTAAATTAATTAAAGTAATTAATATAATATCGATTTGAAGGTTAAATTCAGGGAAGCTGTGAAAGAGCTGGCCGGTGGCCTCCAGGGTCGGATATCAGAGGGTGGATCCAACCTAAGCGTCGGCCAGAGGCAGTTGGTCTGCCTTGCCAGGGCCATAATTAAAAACAATAAAATACTTGTCCTAGATGAAGCGACAGCGAATGTTGATCCGAAGTGAGTTTGCTTGATTATTTTTATAATATGATGGATAAATGGCTATTTTTTTTTTCCCAGGACAGACACTCTAATACAGCAAACGATAAGAGATAAGTTCAAGGACTGTACTGTCCTTACGATCGCTCACCGTCTGCATACTGTTATGGACTCGGACAAAGTCCTCGTAATGGATGCTGGTACGATGGTGGTAAGTTGTCGCTAATATGTTCGTTCGCAGATTATAAATCACGCTGATCGATAATGATGAATAATTGTTTTGTCACAGGAGTTCGATCACCCTTACAAACTACTTGAGAACAAGAACGGCTTTTTTTCAAAAATGGTTGAAAACACAGGCACCCAAACGGCAGCTCGATTGATGCAAATGGCACATGAGGTTTGTACATTTTGAATCTGCACAAAAATTACGTTTTTTGAGGGTTGGTCGAGTCAGAAAAACTTAAAGTAACACAATGCGGAACTAAACATTGTGACATATTCTATCTTCAGGTGTAAAAGCAAGATAGGGCACCCCTTTTTTGGAAAATATTTTAGTTTTTTTGAGGCCCTTCCTATATGTAAAAAACTCTTGTTTTGTAATTGTTATTCAATTTGTCAGTAATAACTTATCACCTTTGGTAATTAATATAAAATATAAATTTTTCATTAATTTGTATTATAATTTATAATTTTTATTATTTTATATCATNAAACAAACTGAAATGATTGGAAACGACCAAGAATAATAAAAGTAATTGTTAAAATATTCAGATGCAGTGGTTCCTTCTTAAAATGACGAATTTTAAAAAACAAACAGGGCCTATCTCATATAACAATTACATGTTAACGATGAACTAGATTATCGACCTGCTGGAAACATGAAGTCTTTTCGGAGGATCTACGGAAGAGGTCAAACACAGAGAAAACTTCCTTTCGGTTTTTGCCGAGCTTTCGACAGTTTTATACTGTCATCTTCAGGGCTTAAACCTTAATGGGGAAATAAACGACATGGTGTTTTGGGCACAGAAGTACATTATGTTTTTTGGGGCTCAGCATCTCATAAAAGTCTACAAACTAGTCAAATCTTCCTTTCTTTGTTTTTCAGGTACATGCGATCACAGTGCATTTCTTATATATACATATATACAATTAACTTATCTTACATTTAAATCTCTGTACAGTAAGATTACAGATCAAAAAAAAAAAAAAAAAAAAAACCCTCTTCGACGAGAGGAACAAAGGCTACGGGATACACATGTATGTAGGATGTGATCGCATGTACCTGAAAAACAAAGAAAGGAAGATTTGACTAGTTTGTAGACTTTTATGCGATGCTGAGCCCCAAAAAAACATGATGTACTTCTGTGCCCAAAACACCATGTCGTTTATTTCCCCATTAAGGTTTAAGCCCTGAAGATGACAGTATAAAACTGTCGAAAGCTCGGGAAAAACCGAAAGGAAGTTTTCTCTGTGTTTGACCTCTTCCGTAGATCCTCCAAAAAGACTTCATAATTTTTTATAATTTTCATTTTGTATTACTCTGTTCAACTAACATTTCATACCTATGTATGTACTGTATTGTATTTAGATATTTTTATTCTTTACAGAGTTTTGCCGTTGCACGAGACCCTGAGGAGCAGTAAAATCGTGAAACGAGCCTGCAAATCTTTAACTCAATCCTCCTGCCACTACTTAAGTGATGTTTCAGAAACGTCACATCAAATGTGTCAACGTTAACTTTTACCCGTGTTAATATTAAGTTATTTTATGAAGTGAAATTTATATAATGGCCAATTATGTGTCGATTTTTCTTTTTATTCCTCTTACATAAAGGTAATCTGGTGAAATGTTCCTCTCTCGCCTACAATTTTTTTTTGGTCCTCAGACACGGGAAAGAAGGGACGTGAAAAAGTGTGCCTTTTGCTTGTATACCGCCATAAATTTATGTTAAATGTACTCTAGTGTACTTAAAATTGTACTTTTTTCTTTCTGTAGTACTTAATTTAAATTCGAGCGTCGAGATTGCAACTGTGGATTGCAGACCAGTCTCGTCAAGCTCGCTTTGTTTTAATAATTGAATAGTTACCAACGACGGCGATAGAAGACAAAACGTTCAATCAAAACTTCTACTCCAGTCACTTTTGAAAATCGAGCCAAATAAAAGAGTATTATTTTTTTCATGTAAAATGCAAATTTATACTTAAATTTCTGAAGATTAAATATGTATTTTTTATGTATCTTTTTGTTAAGAACCCTCTTCTTTTGGCTACTGCATATACAATCGTCTTTTTCCCTTTAAAAGCTTTATTGAATCAATAAATTAGAGGTCTCAGACAGAAAATTGGATGTATAAGATGTGTTGTATAAGAAAAAGATAAAACAAACAAATAGTATTGTAAAATGGTTAGGGATCGAAGGCTTTAGGAAAATTGAGGACAAGAATGGTGATTTTACATAGAGTTCTGTAGGTGGAGTTGCTTGAGCCTTGAGGGACTCAAGAAGTGATGGACTGGGGAGAACATGGTGGCTATTTGGGACGGAGACTACTTGATAATGGAAATGATGAATTAGAACCATCGAATTGAATGTTTTTTGTCTATGTTATAAAATTTGTTGTTTACAACTATCTTGATTGCAAGCATTAAACGCTCATCATCAGGTTGAAGCAGATACAAACACATCTCTCGACATGAATTGTAAGTGTGAACCTGCCAAACCACCGCTAACGCACATTCCAATGAGATGCTGGTTTTAATGCCGCTCAATTTTTAACGTGCGAAAAGTGTTGATTACAACACAACTAAATATTATCCTGATAAATTTTAGGTCGAGGTGCAGTAGGTCTTGGGGCCGCCTCTCTTATCCTTATCCCCTATCCTATCCCAATAAATACTGTAAGAAAACAATTTTAAATTAATGATTAATTTATATGTCAAAATTAATAAGAGTAGTTACTTAAATAAGTAATAAATCAACTTACATCAGGGTTGATAGATAACGCTATTCTGACATTGGCTTTCATGCTAATAAATACACTTCCAATCTGCACACAGTACTCAGTAGAAAGTTTTATCCAAAATTCACATATCAAATATGGCATTTAGGTACTTAATTTTTGCATAAAACCATCTTAAAAATAGGAAAGAAAAAATGTATTAAAATAGGATTGATGGAGGTATCATTATTCGGCCATTTGCATTCATGCTAATATATACACTACCAATCTGCACACAGTAGAGTTTTATCCAAAATTCATATATCAAATATGGATTTAGGTACTTAATTTTTGCATAAAACAATCTTAAAATTATGAAAAATAAATCTTTAGAAGTTGAATTGTTTTTAAGTAATAAATCAATTTAAAGTAGGAAGGAAAAATGAATTAAAATAGGATTGATGGAGGTATTGTTATTCAGCCATTTGCATTCATGCTAATAAATACAATCTACTAATATAGCAGGAGTTGGCATTAGGTAGTTTTAATTATTGCATAAAATAACTTTATAATTATGAAAAATACATCTTCAATATTTAAAAATTGGCTCTTTTTAAGTAATACATCAATTAAATCATGTTTGGTAGGGTATCGTTATTCCACCATTTGCATTCGTGCTAATAAACACAATCCATCAATCTACACACAGCTGAAAGCATTATCCAAAGTTCATAGTCTGCATTAGTATTTAATTATTGAAAAAAAAATTTTTTAATGATGTAAAATGCATCTTTAATATTTAGAAATTGTCTTTTTTTAAGTAATAAATCAACTTAAATCAGGTTTGATAGGGTATCATAATTTCACCATTCATGCTAATAAATACAATCTACCAAAATGCACACAGTAGACAGTTTCATCTATTAGTCATAGCAGCATTGACTTTAGTATTGCACAAAACAATTTTAAAATTAGGAAAAATACATTAATTTTTAGAAATTGTCTTTTTTAAGTAATAAATCAACATTAATAATGTTTGATAGGGTATCGTTACTCCGCCATTTGCATTCATGCTAATAAATACGATCTATCAATCTGCACACAGTAGAAAGTTTTATACAAAATTCATAGCAGGAATTGGCATTAGGTAGTTTTAATTATTGCATAAAATAATTTTACAATTATGAAAAATACTATTTAGATATTGTATTTTTTTAAAGTAATAAATCAACGTAAAATAGGATAGGAAAAATTGAAATTAAGGTCGATGGGGTTTCGTTATTCCGCCATTCACGCTAATAAATACAATTTACCACAGTAGTTTTATCTAACATTCATAGCATGATTTAATTATTGCATAAAATAATTTAATAATAAATACAACAAAATAATAAAAAATACATATTTAATAATTAGAAATTATTAAAAGAAAACTCAAGATGATAAAACTATCTGTTGGGGAGGAAGGCCTGTCAAAATTGTCGGTATTTATAAATCGTCAAAAAAAATATTGTAGGTAGATTTTTTTAAAAGATTTTTTCAATATTTATTAAGATCGATTAATTAATTGGGAACAATTGATTCTTTAGGGTAGTTTTTGGGTACAAATAAAATGTTTATAGTATAACCCTGCGGGAGGTTACTTATTGATTCGAGATGAGAGACGGCGGCAGGTCCTTGTTTTGTCAATTCGTTCCTCCGGCACCCGGGCAGCAACGATGATCGACGCCTGCAGCGAACAAGGAAATGCATTTGACCAGGGAGCGCGTCTGCCACTGGATGGCAAACATAAAACTGTCTCGGATTTTGATCCTGGTGACGGTCGCCCTAGTCACCGTCCCACTCTTCACACACTATTACATCTCCAATGTGAGTTGACCGTCGAGAAATTTTTGAAAATTATTTACATTTATTGATGTTCGACTAAGGTGGAGCGTGACAGGGAGCGGCCGCTGCTGGACGTCCACCGGTCCAGGACCAAGCTGGAGGCTTACGAGGACTTCAGCGCTCTTAAGGCCTCCGATCTGAAAATGCGAATACAAGAGATGCTCCGTATTAAAGGTAATTTGATTGTGATGTACGGTCATTTCAGCCTTTAAAGGACAGCATTCTAGACTGCTGATGGCATAGGTTTCCTCTACCCTGTTGCACCCAAAAATACAGATTACTTGCCTAGATATCCCTCCACAACATTCACACTTTTAAACGTAAAATATGTTACAGAGGAGTTTCAATACTGGATTCGTCTACACTCATGATTTTTTGATGATATTAGATAACAGTAGGCTAGTCTTAGTAGCTAGATGATAGTAGATACCAGGGGATGAAGTTTTAAGGGTGAATCCAAAGACCGAACTGATGGTAAACCTAGGTAAATGTGCTACAGTTTTCCAGTAAGAAATCATAGCGATTGAACATTGCACCTGGGAAATAAAAAGGCTTGGAGTACATTCCCAGAAGATAGCCATTTTCTTTGACAGTCAGGCAGCACTAAAGGCCCTCATGCAAGGTGAAGGCAAAGAGTATTTGGAACTGAAAGTTGACATTGTTGAAACGGATCATACAGGGAGGCTAAATGTCAAATTATTCATGTATTGGATGAGGGATCTCATCAATTTACAGTAACTTTAACAATTATTATTAAATTATTTCCAATTAAAATTCCATAGGCAGTGCCAGGATTCAAGCCGAAAAACGCTGGTGTGGCAAATATGACGCGAATGCACTAGACATTTGGCTACTGCAGACACCACAGAGATTTTTCTCTATTAAAAGTATCAAAAATATAAATCATTTTTATTTAAGAAAAATGTAATAAGCATATATTTGGTGCCCCTAATGGACAGACACTCCCTCTTGAACAGACAATTTAATTTTTTTGGACATTTTCCATTTACTTAACTAAGAAAATTACTTCTCATTACCAGACATTCTAATACATGGTCACACGTATAGATTTTTTTAATGAAAAAGTCAACAATATGTGGATAGCAAAAAGAAAACTCAGGATTCCTCTAACGTGTTACTTGTAAGGAGAAATTTTTTGGGAAGTCTCACACCCTACACGACCCTCATCAACGCGTTTGGCACTCCTGGTCAGTAATTACAACAAACCATTTCAGAGCTAAGTGTGAAAAAAGGAAGATTCTTTTTGTCAGAAAAAGAATTGAGTCCATACATGCAAAGTCCAAGTGTGCTTGGATCCTAATATTTTTTTCAGTAATTTGATTTTTACCGATTGTTTTTGGTATTACTATCCTCACTGGGTTGGTTGGTCAGATGCATTTAGTTATTTTGCTATCTTCAGTGGGTCTGTCCACAGGAAGAAATCCAACGTTTTAATTTTTTTTGCGTGTAATATCTGTACCCTTCTAATTAGCTGACAAAATTCCATAACTAAGGGTGTCTGCTTGTTATAGTAGTAGTATATAGCAGTATTAATTTAAATGTAAGCCAGTGAAAAACAGTCATTAATTATTTATTTAATTTTTAGATTTAGATTAATTGTTTTTTTTAAATTAATTAATTAATTATTATTATTATTATTTTTTTTTTTTTAAAGGATCTGTTAGTACGGAACTGAGAGATCTCGAGGCAAAGAGACAGAGGTTGCAGAGTGAGGTTGTCTTGTACGCTCACAAGATTGAATCTCTTAAGCTTGAGCTGGGACGACAGCAGGCGGAGCTCAACAAGCTCAAACTCTCCGTCGAGCAGGCGCAAGTCGCACAAAAGGAAGCGTTACAGCGCAACAGCCCAGAACTGGCGCCGCCTTTGGCTCTGATTCCCGTGAATCCCTCGGTGCATCTTGATCCGCCTGGGTCGAACAATCCACCGTGTACCATGGCGACCTGCTTTGACCATTCACGCTGCCCCCTCACGTCTTCGTTCCCGGTCTATCTTTATGACACATCTCAATCCTTGGCGTCCATCTTTCTCAAAACGGCCGTCAGCCAGACGGTCGGTTACAACCCGCACTTCACCCTTGATGCGTCCAAAGCCTGCATCTTCTTGGTGCTTTTAGGTGAAGGTGCCAGCCCAGAACTTCACAAGCTGAAAGACCTGCCATACTGGTCTGGTGATGGTGTGTTATCTTTTTAAACATAATAATTTTCTAAATATTAATTTTTTATTAATTTCTGACCATTATCTTCTTATCTTTTCTGATTTGATCTACCAAAACGCATATAAACCTGCCTTTATCAGTATTGATCTAAAAGTGTAGTAGTAATGCAAAGCCAAAACTCATCTGACAGACCAAAATAATTTGGAACGATCGAAGTTCATCAGTGTGGAGTCATCGAGAAAAAATCTAAATATTAATTTTTGCAGGAAGAAATCACGTTCTGCTTCACTTGACAAGGCTGGATTTAAAACCGGAATCATCCGTCATGCCGAATATAGACACTGGGCGGGCCATTATCGCCCAATTTCACCACGACAAGTTCAGACCAGGTGTGTATTTTTAATTATGGATTAATTAAGTTAATTATGGAGATTAGATTAATTAATTTTTCATCATTTAAATCTGCTTTGCTGCTGTGTACTTAATCTTTGCCCGTTATTTTTTTATTTTAATTTTGTAAATAGGTTTTGATCTACCGATTGGTGTAGCAAGAGGTCCTCCAGGCGGTGATGTATGGTCGGATGCAGCAATGATGCTTCCAGCGAGGAGGAAGTACCTCTTCTCATTCCAGGGTTCTTTGAAAAACCAAGAGAAAGGGTTTAACAGTATGTTGAACATTAATTTAGAAATTATTATGATTAAAAAAAAAAATATATATATATATATATATTTTTGCATTGTGGAATATGAAACCATAATGCACATGAAGTTACGAAGTGTAAGACCAAAATGCTTGTTTTTCTCAATGAATAACCACAATTTAAATTTTAAAAAAGCTTTTTAATTGTTAAAAGGAAAAGAACTTGCCATTGTTTTTTCCTTAAATAACTACTATAATAGTAATATTATTATTTATTTTAATTAATTATACTTTTAATCTAAGGTCTTGGTTGAGATAAAAAAGCAAGTGTCATTGCGGGATTTGAACCCATCACCTTTGGCTCGATACGCTGCTGCTCTAGCCACTTGAGCTATCATGACATGTGTTAGTATAATTAATTAAAATACAATTAACATGATCAATTATGGCTGCTTAATACATATACGGATTATTATTTATTGTCTATTTTAGTAGTTTGTGAGTTGTGAAAAAAAAATCGTGAAATATTTATATTTGATCGGTGGGGTTATGAACCTGCATTTTAATCGTTAACAGTCATCAGAGGTAGGTGATATGGACCGTTGTGGTATGGTGCACGGTTCATATTCGCTACGGCACTGATTTGTAAGGACTCTCCCGAGATACGGAAAATATTTTAAAATTTTTTTAAAAGTTATTCAGATATCGTGAGATGCGGTTGGGTGTGATGTCTCACCTCATCTCACGATATCTGAATAACTATCGATTAACAGTCACTAATCTCTACACATGTTTTTAAAATTTCAAAAAGGTTAAATTGAAAAATGGTCTTCACATTAATGTTATTAATGTTGACAAAGCGATACTAAAGGCCTGTGGCATTGATTCAATTCCAAAAAATATTGTAAGCCGGTCCCTATCTTAGAATAAGTTGTAGTGGGTAAAGTAAGAACAAAAGATGATTAGTTTAAACGATCATAGAACAAAGGCTGTAAATCGGCAGGGGCGATCACCCAGATAAGAACGACATGACATCCTCTACCTATCTAGGAAACAAAACTCGGTAATAATTAAGCAGTTTGTTGAAAGTTGTCATAGCACATATGGGAGCAATGTGATGTTCCTCACAAATCATGGAAACCTAGCCCTGCAAAAATTACACAGTTGGTCAAATAAATAAGAACGTAGAAGAGGGTCATAAACCCAGAAACTGAAGGGTTGTCACAACTTCAAAAATATGTAGTGACATGAGACATCACAAATTGGGGTTGTGTCAACCATGTGCATGAGACACCTGTTTTCCCCGGTCCACCCATGGCATGGGAACTCTCCTGTCTTTTGGTTTTCCTTTCCATGCCTACTCCAGTAGAGAAACTGCCTTAAAAAGGGATGATTTAGAAATTAAAAGTAAGTCAGTACCAAAGACTCAACCCAGAGAGTTAACAGTCGACAGAAGCAGCCACAGTCTGGGACTCAACAAAGAGACTTTTAGCCAGCCAAGCCAGCAAGGACTAGCTGTTGTGACTCATCAGATGTGGCAAGTCTTTGCGGTAAGTCCCTTTGTTAATAGACTCATCCCAGATTTATAGTTGTGGTTGACTTTTTATGGAATGTGTTAAAATAAACGTTGAAGAATATACTCTCCAGTTTATTAAATTCTATAACTTCACAACTACTCTCTTATTGCTTAGAAAAAAGCAAGCAAATGCAGAGAGATTATTCAGCTGTCGCGCCGTTTGCAATATCCCCAACAGCCGTCAATTTTGAAAGCAGGGTTTTTCTAGAAGAGGTGATCTGCAATGTCTGTATATGGTGAAAGGTTTAGAGTGTCTTTCCAGAACAATGGCTGTAATGAATGTGTTAAAGTCCATGGAGTTGTTTGTGATTATTTTTGTAGACACATTGAAGATGTTGAGAAAATGAAGCACACCAACCCAGTTAGGATAGGGAGACCAAAATGATTGGTAACGATTGTGTCCTCTTGAGATCATTTCTGATAATTTTGATCCATCAGACCAAAATACTTGGAAAAATCCAAACTACAAACATACAATTTTATTTTATTACAAGTTGTCTGTCTTACCACCAATTGTTTTGGACTGCCTATCCTTGCCTGTTGGTGTGCCAGATATTGGCATTTCTTTAGTGGTGGGTTTGTTGTATGTCCACCAGGGATGGGCAACAAGGGAAATTCTGGGATTTCTTCTTAAAGTCCACAAGGTGGCTAGGTTGTTTGTTGATGGCAAGAAATTGAAAGTCATCTAACACACAACCCAGTGAGCATAGGCAGACCAAAATTATCTGGAACAACAATTTCAGATTCATCACCCCAAAGACAAAATGGAGAAATCAACCAATATTGCAAAAATTGTGATAGATGTTAGGGGGTTTTTGATTTTTTTGGTCTGTCAGAGTGAAACAGCGGGCATGGACTAACCAAAATAATCGGATATGACTGAACTACTTACTAATACAGATATATATTTTATTTCAAGAGTCTGACCACCAATTATTTTGGTCTGCCTTGTTGATTTGGCCTGTTTGGCATTTGGCCATCTTCTAGTAGGTTTGTAATGATGCCTCAACCTGCTTATAACCCTAACCATGAAAATTGTTAAATATAGACCTTTGTTAAGGTGTTTATCTCTATATTTTATATATTCAATATTGTGTTGGTTTAGTGCAACAAAGAAAAATTATAGTTTCAGAATTACAGTCGTTCTTGTCAACGACATCGGATGAGATAGTGTTCGATACGACTTGCAAACCAAGCGGGATGTTCCGGCAAAGCGCCGACGACTGGGCGTTGTGCGGAACAGACGAAATGAGGGAGAAGCTTCTCCGTGAGAGCACTTTCGTTTTGATACCTGCTTCCAAACCATCACCCGTGATCGGCGTCAGACTCTACGAGGCGTTGAAGTCCGCCACGATACCCATTATTGTTGGAGACGATGTTATACTGCCTTACAACGAGGTTATCAGATGGAGTGGAGCCATCGTTCAAGTAGCGTTGGCGAGGGTTCCAGAGCTGCATTTCTTATTGAGATCGATCGGCGATGCAGATCTATTACTGATGAAGCGACAAGGCAGGTTCCTTTGGGAGCGTTATCTCTCTTCCCTGCAAGCCCTCGTTGACACGACTCTAGCCACGCTTAGAGACAGGCTGAAACTACCGCCGCCTCCTATACAAGAAACCCCTGCGACATCCATTTTCACCGATGGTTTTATTGTAAGTGTTATTTATTTTAAACATTTATAAAATAATAGTAAAATTCAATTCTTAAGCCTTTGAAAACGGATCCTGTGATCGCTGACGCTGAACCGGAAGAGAGTCTCGGCCCACTGGAACCACCGTATCCGTCACCTGCTTTTAAGAGAAACTACTCCCTCTTCATGACACAGGTCAAAATATAAAACATATCACCTATAATAATTCTTTTAAAATGTAATACTAAATAATGTTTAATTCTACAGGGTTATGAGATGTGGAACAAATGGGGCGACCCTTTTCGACTCTATCCACAGCTTCCTTTCGATCCCGTACTCCCATCCGATGCCAAATTCATTGGTGAATAGACAATTTGTTATTATTTTTATTATTTTTTGGAATAGAAGTATTAAAACAGTTTTTCAGGTTCTGGAATGGGCTTCAGACCGATTGGAGCCGGCGCTGGCGGTGCGGGTAAAGAGTTCTGTGAGAGCCTCGGTGGAAACTCACCTCGTGAGCAGTTCACGATTGTGATGTTGACATATGAGAGGGAGCAGGTCCTTATGAACTCGTTGAGCAGGCTACACGGGCTCCCGTACTTGAACAAAATCATCGTCGTTTGGAACTCTCCTCGGCCACCGCTGCAAGATCTACGCTGGCCTGATGTCGGGGTACCGGTCCATGTAAGTACCAACTTACAAATCTTCACAGGAAAAAAAATTGAATAAATACTTGAAACAAACTTATTAATAACTCGGAAAAATAGTTTTTTAAAACTTTTTTTTCTTAATGTCTGCAGCATGGTTTGTTGATTTCATTTTAGTCTACCTAATCGTACCATTTTAGAAACATGCTGAAAACGGCAAAATATTATTTCCTTCCATTCCAGTCACGACAAAATTTTAGTTTCATCACCTCACAAACCTGTTGAAATTTCACAATGGGATTTGTCTTGACATTGTTTCATATTGTTTTCGACTGTCAGATACATTTTGTCAATTTACCTTATCAATAGTTAAATTTTCTTGTCTTTTTCATCCTGCTTATCATCCTGACCGATTGGACACAGCGAGAAGGTCTACAGGCTACCAAAACAGTTAGGATAGATACACAAAATGATCAGAAAAACCAAAACTATTGTGAAAATGTTTTTCTTATCAGATTTTTCCTCCTTTGCTGGTTACATATTCCCAACAAGTTGTCTGGTCTGACAGTCAATCGTTTTGATGTGCCTATCTTTGCTGGTTGGTCTGTCAGACACTTTTCAGCAATATGCCATCTTCAATGGTGGATTTGTACATTTACGAGGACCATAATGGTATTTCTTCTTAAAGTCCATGAGGTCATGAATATGTAGTTTGGTTGTCTGTGATCATTTTTATAGACAGACCGAAGATGGTGAGAAACTGAAACTCATCAACCCAGGGAGGAAAGGTAGACCTAAATGATAGGTAACAACCCAATTTTAGATGCCCAGAAAAAAAGGAAAATTTATCAATGTAGTGGAAATTGTGATTCTCCTCTTGAAGTCTTTTCTGATTATTTTTGTTTGCCGACTGGGCCTCCTTTGGCTTTCAAAGACGCCTGCAGGTCTTCAGCCTCCTGCTGGCCTCGCTCAACCTTGCTGAAGCACTCTTGTCTCCGGCCGAATCTCGTCACCCCATTACGAAAAAAATTGTTTTTCTAGCAATTGTTAATTGCTCTACCAGATACTTTTTTACATTTTACCTTCTTCAGTGGTGGATTTGTACATCCATCAATAGTGGGCGATAAGGGCCATTGTGGGATTTCTTCTTACACAGAAGATGGCGAGAAACTGAAAGACATTTAACACACCAACCCAAGCATAGGCAGTCCAAAATGATTGGTAATGACACTATTCATTCAACGTAGAGAAATCTACCAATATAGTGAAAATTGTGATTCTTCTTGAAATGGTTTCCGATTATTTTAATCTGTCAGACTGAAACAGCAGCGACGATCATCTTCAGGGCCTGGGATTTATAAACATTGTTTGAATTCAATACGTGTAGGATGTGGAAAAAAATGAATTTATACAATGCTAGAAAATTTTAGAATAAAAATTTTTCTAGCATTCTATAAATTCATTCTTTTTTTAAATCTAAAATTTTCTAGCATTGTATAAATTCATAATTTTTTCCACATCTACATGTATTGTAAAATTCAAACAATGTTTATAAATTCCAGGCCCTGAAGTTGATCTCAATAAAGGTCGAAACATTAGCACAATAAAGAAAATGTTTTTCTAAAACTTACATCACACCAGACCACATCTCATGATCTCCGAATAATCGTAATAATGTATGTTAATAGAGAAAAAAGTTGATTGGCTTATTAAGCATATTTACGTCCGAAGTGACCTGAGATGCTTCATGCAGCAGGTGGGAAGAATGACTTAGTCGAAAATAAGTTGTTAAAAGAGAGTTCTGCATCAAAATCATATTTTATTTTGTAGTTGTTCCATAAGTATTCTTTTCTTGTGTTCAATAAAATTTATAAGTTCATTTCGAGTTCAATTTCCAAAGCTTCTAACTATATTTAATTTTCCTACATTTATATTTATAAATATATCCACTAAATTGATTAGAAATGAATTTGCGCAAAAACCATATCAAACTTTTGAAGAAAAAAAGTGTTTTTGAGGGGCTTTTTTTCTAATTGCAGGTAGTCAAAGCTACAAGAAACAGTCTCAACAACAGGTTTTTGCCTTATGATGCTATCGAGACTGAAGCTGTGCTTTCAGTTGATGATGACGCTCATCTAAGGCACGATGAAATTATTTTTGGATTCAGGTAGTACTATAGTTGTTTGTGGTGTTTGATTGGATTATATTAAAATAATAATAATAAAATAAATTGCAGGGTTTGGAGAGAACAAAGGGATCGTGTAGTCGGATTCCCCGGACGGTTCCACGCCCTGGATTTAAACTACGGTGGTTGGCTTTACAATTCTAACTACTCGTGTGAACTTTCGATGGTGCTAACTGGTAAAACTCATTCAACGTTTTATTAATTTTATTAGGACGAGCGGTTCATAAAAGTATCGATTTGTTTTCAGGCGCTGCTTTTATCCATAAACACTACACATATCTTTATTCGTATTGGCTTCCTCAAGCCATTAGGGACAAGGTGGACGAGTACATGAACTGTGAAGACATCGCGATGAACTTTCTCGTCTCGCACATCACAAGAAAACCGCCTGTTAAGGTGAATTTTCAACTGACGAATTTAATAATTCGTTCAATTGGTCTTTTTCCTCTTTGTCTTAGGTGACTTCGAGGTGGACTTTCAGATGCCCAGGATGTCCTGTATCGCTCTCTGAGGATGACACGCACTTCCAAGAGAGACACAAGTGTATAAACTTCTTCTCGCAGGTCCATTTCACATTCCTTTTTCTAATTTTTCCACTTTGACGGTTATTTTTTACGAATATTTTTTTTTCTCCAGGTGTTTGGATATACACCCTTGCTGAACACGCAGTTCAGAGCGGACTCGATTCTCTTCAAGACGAGAATACCACACGATAAACAGAAATGTTTCAAATTCATTTAAGTATGTGCTTGAGCTTTATATTCGGAAATGATCTCTGATATTTTTTTAAACTTTAATGGAATGTAAAATTAATATTTTATTCAGATACATTGTAGGTTGTTGCTTGGAAGATGTAGGTATGTGACTCGTGCTAGTCAAACTTTTTTTTTTATGTGCCATTTTACCGATTGTAAAGGTATGAAAAACAACCATGGTTTGCCATTTAATGATATAGCAAAATATGACGAGTTTTTATTTTATTTTATGAGCATTAGTAGATATATAAGGAAGGAATCAAAAATGGTCATGTTTCTAGTTTTAGTTTGATGATTTGGGTCAGCGTACATCTATTGAGTTGATTATTCTTTGTCGTTAAATTAACATCACCACAGAATATCACTTAGGCGTCAATAAGACTGCGATTAGCACAGAAATCTCAACAGTCACAACATGCCCGGTCAAATCTTAGCCATAAAAAAAAAAATATCATTAAAAATCCATTCTGTTTGTCACTAATGTAGATAGTTTAAAACTAATATATCCTTGTTTATATTTTTTTAAATGTATTAATTAACCTCGATGTTTATTATTAAGATTTATAAGTTCTTAAATATTGAAATGTCTCATTGAAAGGGGCGTTTTATCACATTAACGTTACTGACAAATTAAATCTTTTCGAGCAGAAGGGACTCGTGTTTGTCATTCGTTCATTTCGATCCGGATCGGGAGATTTCTTTTTAAAGACAAGCCTTACATCGGGTGCTATGAAATTTACATTTTTATGTATTTGTTTCTCTTGAAGAGGCGAAACAAATGACTAAGTACAATATTGTAATATTTAATTGAATAAATAATTGTATATTTATCTGTTTAATTTCCTCTTTTCCCTTTGGTTTCTTCTTTAAACTGTTGTTAAACATTTCATATTTTCAATTTGGACATGTTTCTCCTTCATCATTCTTTGTTATGTTTTAGTTATTATGTCATGGTTTTGAAATTGAATTCCTTCTTATAAGACCAAGCCAAGGTTGTGAAATTAAAAATATGCGCCAGAGATTATAGTGGCAGCTAAGGGCAATGTGCAGAAAGCCCTCGCAGAAATCACGTCATACGTGGAAAAATGGACAACCCCCGTAAATGCGTCTAAATGCGAACCAAACAATTTTTCCCTGTTTTCCCCAGGATCAGAGTTGATCATCAATATCCAAACCATCCCATGGAACGATAAAAAAAGCCGTTATCAAATATCTTGGCATCTGTTTGGATAGACTTACCTGGGACAAATACATAAAGAAAAAAGTAGCAGAAGCTTGCAAAAGCAAGCTGAAAGCAAAATTCTGCACATTGATATTCCAGGCAACAAACCACTATTTTATATGGGAGTGAGGTATGGAAAGCTGCAGCAATCACGAAAATAAATAGTCCAAGCACTGCAAAAAAAAAAAAAAAAAGCTCAGAAGGGCGGTAGATGCTCCATGGTACGTGAGAAACCCAAATTCAAAAAGTTTCATGCTAATCTAGGACATGTAAACGGTGCCATTTACTACAACCTGGGACAAAAGGTGACGGACAGGCTCAAACCCTGTTTGCTTAAAGATATTCTCGAGTTGTGAGTGTTGTGAATTCATTCTAGTCAAAAAGTTAAAATCGTGAAGTTGATTGTGATAACGTTTCTGTGAGATATCTATTTATTTATTATTTTACGTACAACTTGAAGAAACTATGTAATTGGTTGAACTTGTTAATTTCTTCTAATAATAATAAAAAATATAATATGTACAATTTATATTTTTTAAAAAAATTACTTTGCTTGTAAAATGTAGAAAAGATAGTTGCAACTAAAACTCTCAATTCAATGATTCGATTAGTGTGAAATTTTGTCCACACCCAGCCCTCTTTTGCCATGACTGTCTCGCTCTCCATACTTCACAAACCTTGGACATCTCTCCTCTTTTACACAAGTTTTCTTCTCATTTAAGTCCAGTAGACAAGTTTTATTTTAATTTCCTAATAAGTAGTGAAAACTTGGTGATCCCTCAATCAAGGAGTGTTTCAGAAAACGCTGCAAGAGTCTGCGGAGACGTTCCACAGGGCCTTGGACATATTTTTAGGTCACACTGCATAAAAAATGAGTTCATCAGGGATTTTGCCATCATCTTGGTGGACGATGAAGGCTGTCGTGGGATTTCTTCCTATGGTATATGAGGTGATGAAGAGTAGTTCGTGGTCTGTAATTTTTGGTCTTCGTTATCTTGCCATTTTGCAGATACACTGAAGGTGGCAAAAGCTGAAACACATCTGACAGACAACCCAGCGAGGCTAAGCAGGCCAAAATAATTCTTCTTAAAGTCTACAAGGTGTTAAACCTGAAGTTTGGTCATTTGTAATTATTTCGGTGATTTGATTGATTTTCACTTCTTGCGGCTTTGGAGGCAAAAACGAAAAGTCTCTGACAGACCAAACTAATCGAAAATGATTTCATGAGATCGCAGAGACAAATGATTGGTCAGAACTGTAAATGGGGTGAGGAAGACAAGGAAATTTAACAGTTGATATGGTAAATTGAAAAAATGCGTCTCGTAGACCAAAATGATAGGAAACAACCTCAAGAGGAATCATAATTTTCTTAATATTGAGATTTCTCCATGTTGTCCGTGGGCTAATGAACATGAAATTAGGCCAATCATTTTTCTATGTCCGACATCTTTTGTTATTTTATCGATAGTAGGGTTTATTTGTTTTGTCTTACCCTGCTTATACCTGATTTGGAGATTGCAAGAAACTAAAAAAAATCTTTAAACTACCAAAACAAGGAGAGGCATACAAAATGATAGCAAAAAGTTGAAATATTATTAAAATGTTTTTGTTGCCATATCCTCCCTCCCTTTGCTTATTACATTTTCACAATTTAAAATTTAAAGTATAAAAAAAAGGCAGTGTAACATAAAATCAGGTGCTCATGTTTCTTTCAGCATTTTTAAGGACACAGAAATTGTTTCCGGTTTAAGCCAGACCAAAATGATCGGAACAACCAATTTTCAGATTCATCACCCCGCAGTCAATTTCAAGTAGAAATTAAAATATTCTGCAGATGGTTGCTGCGGTTGAACTGTAGTGATCATTTTGGAAATACAGTGAAGTTGGTGAAATAACAAAACGCCAGGTAAAATGAAACACTGTGTCTGACATACTAAAATACTCGGTGACGACCTCAATATTAGGAAAGGAATCAGTTTCTTCAATATTATGAGATTTGTTCATGTTGTGTGCAAGCCGATGAACTTGAAATTAGGTTGGTTGGACATTTTATCATATTGGAGGATATTTGTTTGTCATGCCTCACCTTGCTTTTATCTGACCAACAATGGGAGATGGTGAGAAGCTGAAACACATCCAGACCAGAATGTTCGATTCTGACCAAATTTCAGATTTGTCAACCCTTGGACAACTTGAAATCTCACAATATTGTGAAAATTAAGATTCCTCTTACCCTTACGTTTTAGTGGTCAATTGACTAAGTTATTTCTTTCAATTAATTATTCTTTCTGTGTAAGGTCTTGGTTGTGGTAAAAAAACAGGCAGTGTCACAAGGGGGATTCGAACCCACGACCTTTGGCTAAATACGCCACTGCTCTACCACTTGAGCTATCGTGACTTCGATCCTCTTGGACACCAACTTTCCATCTGATACATAATTATGTTTGTAATCACCTCCTGCCTGCAATCTTTCAAATTTACTGAACGTCACTTTCTTTCTCCTCAATTCCACCTCAAAATCAAACTCTTCCCTGCCGCCGTGTCATTTTCGTCGATCGTCCTAGTCATGGTAAAGGGCTGCACACCCTTATTTATGTTGTGCATGTTGCGGGGGAGGGCGTGATTTAATTTGTGGCCTTGATGCCGCACGCACGCTTTATTGCTTTTCCGTCGTCACCCTCTTCTATTCATACAGCGGCCCGAGACGATTTTCATTGTCGTGAGGCCATAAGTCAAAAGACGCCGGAGTCGCAAATTTCATTAACGACACAGCGAGACAGGGCGCACCCGCTTGCCGCCAGTGAATTAGACGTTTAAAGAGATTGTTAGGGTGTGATCAAGTTGTGTAGTTGCAAGCATGTCGCAGTTCCGTTTTTCGATTTAAGATTTGGCTACTGTAGCAGTTTGAGAAACAGACTCCTACGAAGAAAAGGAAGAAAAAGTGGATCCTTATTTTATAACTACAAAAAACACATTTTCAGTTGTACTCCTACAGCAGATTCAAACTACAACTTCATAGCAGTTGACGTTTGAGGTTATGGAAAAAACAGCGATGGGGTATACTATCCAACTCAAAACGGAAATATGAATAAACCGTTGATAGTGTCCTTCCAGGGACTTCATTGCTATCACCGTTCGTTATAGTAGAGGATGAAGCTTTTCCTTTGAAGATGTATTTAATATACCCTACCTTCAAGGCCAGATCGATGATATTTCTCTAAAAACTCTTTAACCAACGTCTGACCCTAGCTCGACGTTATGTTGAGAACATTTGGTATACTTGGTCAAAAGTTCAGGATTTATAACAGGAGACTTCAAGCTTATCCTACCCCTGTTGATTACATAATTTATGCTTCTTGCATCCTCTACAATTTCATAAAAAACATGACAGTTTCAATTCTCTTTTGAATGACGTTCCAACCGAAATTCCACGAGCTTTTGACAACCGACATTTTCGAGGGGGAAACGCCGCGTCAGGCTTTTGCTGTTAGAGAAACATTTAAAAACTTTTTCATGTCCTCTGAAGATTACTTCGAGTCGTTCCAATGAATGAAATTTTTCCTATTTGAAGTTTTTACATTCTACTAATATAATTATTTGCAGATCTTGAGATGCGGTCGGGTGTGACGTAGATGTAGAAAAACATTTTCTTTGTCGTTCCAACGTTTCGATCTTTATTGAGATCATCTTCAGAGCTCAAAGTGTTTGTTTTCCGTGTAGATGTGCCATTCTTGTCTGTCGTGTTGAGAGTGCCCAGTGTGTTGAGAATCAATCACGATCTCCAAATAATCATTGGCTAACGGTCACTAAATACCACACATAAACATAATTGTTTAAACATATATAACACTATTGTAATTATGCTAGTACTACTTGCAAAAATGAAATAAATGAATACATAAAAATGAAAGTTTTATCTTCCCTGTAATTCTGCTTCTTTTGATTGACATCTTGAACTTCGGATATATGTATTTTGGATGGGATAAATCATATACAATTTTCTTTCTCACAAGCTCAATCAGATTTGCGTCATCCATTTGTATTTATCGACAAGAACAAGACACCACAACCACAAATCAATAAAAACAACAGAACACTGACGAGTACTGAGCGACAACCTCAGCCGAATCGTTGGCGAAGACAACTGAGTGGGAATATTCCGGAAGATCTTCGTCTTTGTATAAACAATTCCATTAAAAAGCAAGAAAGTTAAGTTTTAAACGACTCGTTACGAGCTCGGCTCGTTCTCTTCACGTTCCCTTTAGGTGCCTGTTTAAAATCAACCTTAAAAAATTCTTAACCCATTGCTAAAATCTAACATTTGATATGCTTTGCCAGTTCTGTATTAGTTTGGTTAGAATAGTGTACGTTTTGTAATATTGCTTCGAGTCTACATCTGAAGACATGCCTAGTCGGTTTTCTTACTTCTGCAAGTTTGTGTTGTCACGATCACATTGTCCATACTTTTTTAGTATGGATCGGATTTAATTGTGTCCCGGCCTCAGGGCTGATTCATGGCCGGTTATCGAGGAAATCAAATATTTATTAAGTTGTACACGGGGTGTGAATCACCCGCGGAGGGGCTGCAGTCGTACAAACCCCCAGGATCATTAAAAGACTCGTTAAACGGGCGAGAGGGCTTCGTATAATGGCAGTGGCCGCCTCCCGGCCGCAATGTAACTAGAGTTTTGCATGCTGACAATAACGAAATCAACCCATAAGAAAAAAGATTTTAAATCCAAAACGGAACCAAAAAAGTCCTAATTAGCTACGGTCAGAATCTCACCAATTTCGGAGTTATTCCACTTTTTCTGAATTTTTAAAATTTCACGACCTTACTTCAAATAAACAATGATAACTCCAAAACCAAAAGGTTTTGGACAAATCCGTTCATACCATTGAAAACTACGTTAAATTTTCAATATCATGTGATCAATACTAAACTTGTAAACATTGATGAAATAAGAGTTTTAGTAGCCAGAACTTTGAAAAAAAAAAATTTTTTTTTTCAATTGTTTTCAATTAATCTTTGTGTAAGGTATTGGTTGAGATAAAAAAGCTAGTCTCACGACCCACGGCCTTCGGCTAAATACGCCGCTGCTCTACCACTTGTGCTATCGTGACTTCGATCCTCTTGGACACCAACTTTCCATCTGATACATAATTATGTTTGTAATCACCTCCTGCCTGCAATCTTTCAAATTTACTGAACGTCACTTTCTTTCTCCTCAATTCCACCTCAAAATCAAACTCTTCCCTGCCGCCGTGTCATTTTCGTCGATCGTTCTAGTCATGGTAATGCTTACCTATCTAAGGACAGGTCTAAAGGTTGTCATTCATTGGTCGAGGTAAGGTGGTTATTCAAAATCAGAGGGGACCTCCTTTATCTCAATGGTGCACCTTTTCGGGCTAGAGAAAATCTAATCTGCTCATTATGCAATGACCAGGTTAAAGAAGACATAGTGCATTTTATTGCAAAATGCACTATCCAATCGGAGATTCGGCTTCTGCATCTAAATTTTGCTAAATTGAATGTGACACAGGTTATTGACTTACTGCTTAATGATTACAAAAATTTAATCAAATATGCTCGCCACTCCTGGCACTAACGCCAAGAGTTAATATTAGAAATTAAATTCACTAATTTCGTGGTCCGCTTGACCAATTAATACATTACAATTAATTAAGGTTTTCAGTTGAGATGAAAAAAAGTCAATGGTACGAGGCGGACTCGAACTCACGATCCTCGGCTAGATACGCCGCTGCTCTACCACTTGAACTATCTTGACCTCGATCCACTCGGACACTAACTTCCCATCTCAACCCCACCTTTTGAATTTTCCCTCCTTTTTGCCATTTTTCAATGTTGAAAAACTTACTATGGTGATTCTAAACTACCATTTCCAAACCTAGGGACCAGCAAATTTCAAAAAACGTACTCCATTTAATATTCTTTTTAATGGACTAATTGCTTTTTAATTACTTTTTGCAAAGATGAAGAAATTGATGAAGGAAAGGAAAAAACCGTGGTTGAAGGATTGATGAGGTGGAAGGATTAATAAATAATAAAAGGGGGCGTCGGTGGCCGCAACGGTTTAGGCGTTGAAACGGCGCTCATCACTGTAAGGTAAAGGTCCCGGGTTCGAATCCAGCGGCCCTGCACTCGAACCCGACATACTTACAAATGGGCTTTTTATATGACACTGGTGTTACGAACCCTTATAAAAAAAATAATAATAATAAATAAAAACTTAAGGAAATTTTGTATGAATGAACTAAAAACGTTTTTAAACCTAAAACCATTTTATTCCGGGAATAATAATACAAATATCATTTAATCAAAGTTACAGTCGTGTTGGCAAATAAGTAAATAATTGCACTATTTCGGTTTCGAACCCAAATTAAAAAAAGCCTAATAAATTCATTCAGTTTTCTTAAGTTTTTCATTCTTTTTTTTTTTTAATCTTTCCACCTTTCCAATCTTTACCAATCCGTCAACCACGGTTTTTTCCTTTCGTTCATCAATTTCTTCAACTTTGAAAAAAGTAATTAAAAAAGCAATTACACCACTAAAAATGATATTAAATGAAGTACGTTTTCCGAATTTTGCTGGTCTCGGTTTGAAAATAGTAGTTTAGAATCAGCATAGTACGTTTTTCAACTTTGAAAAAAAAAATATTTTACGAAGTTCTCGCTACTAAAACATTTATTTCACGAATGCTTACAAGTTTAGTATTGATCACAGCTTATTGGAAATTTAACGTAGTTTTCAATTGAATCAACGGATTTGTCCAAAACATTTTAGTTTTGGATTGATCATTGTTTATTTGAAGTAAGGTCGTGAAATCTTCAAAAATCAGAAAAAGGGGAATAACTCCGAAACTGTTGAGATTCGGAATTAGGACTTTTTGGTTCCATAATTTACTGTAAAAGTATGTCACAGGAGAAGCCGAACACTGTACAAACTTAAAATGTGTTTAGTGTAATTTTGGTTGTAGGAGTATAAGAAGGATGAGCTAAGCTAGCTAATCATGAATCTGTAGTTTTTCGGGACAACATCTGGTTTTATTCTTTAGAGACATTGATTACTAAAAAAAGTTTTGTAAATTAACAAAATCGAAAACTTTTGTTTTAAGTGGCCTTCCGCTGTGATGCTCTGTCCAGAAAACTGTTTTGTTACATACACTATGTTATTTTACTTTTAAATAAGTAAGTAGATTCTTGATTAAAAAAGGAGAGGATGAAAACAACCTCTCTACAATAGTAAAGTCTGATTGTATTTGTGCTTGTGCTGAGGGATCAGTCGAGTGTGGATGTTGACAGGACTATGCCTGAAACGGGCACCAGGAGCAGGGGGTCGACTGGAAGGATTTCTCTGAAAAAAACAAGGATCAAATTAAAAACCCAAATCCGGGAGATAAAAATCGTTGATTACCTCGGATAACTAGGCGAGTTGGCGCTGGAAGCGTAGACGTACAGTTTGTTCGGAAGTGTTGGACGGTACTTCCTCAGGTCGACCGACACCGGGTACCTGCCGAAGTTGACGACCGTCAGTACGGTGGGGTGGTCGATGAAAGACCTGGAAAACGAGTAAGAAAAAAGTCCAACGAGGAAAAAACTGTTGCAATTGATTGATTAATTTTAAATAAATAAATCGTTTAAAAAAAGAACCTTGAGATAACTTGCCGAGTAAGCCGCTTTTGAGATATGAAAAGATAACAAAATAATCCGATTTTTTAAATTATTATAGCTCGAATCTTTCACTATGACTCATTTAATAGATATGTGGCAAAAAATTGTCTTTGACGACATTTTGACTGACAAGCATTATTCGTACTTTCCCGTCTAGTGTCCCAAAACAGCAGACTTCGTGGCAAAGGTCTAGGCATCTATCGTTGGACTCACTTGCCCCGACTCGTAAAAAAAAGAATTACAAATCCATCCAACAAACCTCTGATAGAACCCTGTGGATAGCCACAAGAAAAACACTAAAACGCCACATTCCATTGTCTCTTCTCGGTGGAGACGATGGGTCGTGGGCGATGTTCTATCTGGACAAACATTTTCGCTCAAACCTGGTCGACGGTCTGTTTATAACGACAAAACTAGAAAGAAAAAGAAAAGATATCCAAAAAGTCTGGTAAAGCACTTGGCTCATCGCAAGAATTTGATCTTCTTTCCAAAAAAAGGGTGACTTCGGAGTTTTGTGCCACCACGAAAAATATTTATTTTTTTTTGCATTTTCGATGTGTTTCGACCTTTCACCATGATGAGTGGTGGGTTAATTAGAACTAAGCTTATTACCAATACACCACTGATGATGGTAGTGCGTTTGACAGCCCAATACAGTTAGGATAGTCACAGACCTCAAGCAGAATCTGTAGTCACCATTTATGCCCCCCAGACGGCCAATTAGTCTGCAGTGCACAGAATGAACCTTGTTGCTGTCACTGACTGGGTCGATTTCGCATTTCTTTTCTTCAAATCTTACTAAAAGGTTCTTGAATCGCTTGTCCAGAGAGTGACTAAAATGGTCTAATTGTTTGGATCCTAGCTACAAAAGGGTTCGGGACATATCGGCAGATTCTTTTCTCCTAAGGGTTGTTTTCCCTCTAGTATTGCATTTCCTCGAACATAGTAGAAAGTGACTGTATACCTGACCTTTTCAGTTCGGTTTTGCAGTATCATTTTCTAGCCGGTGAGATTATGTGCTTTGATGATTGCTTGGCTCACTGGGTTTGGTCTGTCAGACGTAATTTCGCCATCTTCAGAGGTGGATTAGTATTCCTACTTTTTACTAGGTGCTAACACAACCCTTGATGATGGTGTGATGACGTAAAGTGTCTGAATGCTCAAGACAGTAAGAGGACAGTCGCAGATGATTGCTTCATGTCGAAAGGTGGATTCGAAATACAATTCGTTACCTTGTGATGATTAGAACTTCCACGGTGGTCGCGTTGTATACATCGATTGCGAATTCGCCTTTTGAGAAAGTGTTCAGCTTTCTCATCTTGACGAGCGATTTGAAGAGTTTGAGATGCGATTTGACCGCCTCCTGCTGTTCCTGGACGTCCGTTAAGGTTGTCATCGGGATCCAGGGTTTGCCACAGGAAAAGCCGCCGTTTTCCGTTTTGTTCCAAGGCATCGGCCCTCTTTCCGGGTCCCGTGTCTTTCTATAGAACTGGTCCGGTTGGGCGAGGAGGCCCTGCAGGTCCTGGGCTTCGTCCCGTCTAACGAAGCTGTCTTCGAGGGCGAGCTCGTCGCCGTAGTAGTTGACGAAAGTCCCAGGCGTGCTCATTAGAGCGATGTTTATTATGTCTGTGTGCTCAGGAGAAAACCGGCTGCTGAGGCGGTTGTGGTCGTGGTTACCCATCTGGGAAAGAGATTCAGATATAAGCAAACCTGGATAAGATCATCCCTGGGATTTATACGTACAACCCAGTTGGGCCAATACTCCACGAGCGGAAACAAATAAAACCAGGTTTCCACCATGTTCTTCCAGTGCACGCCTACGTGATCCGCCTTCATGGTCATTAGGGGGAAAAAATTGAAGGGGAAATGAGCAACCTGCTTGTCTTTCGTACCGTAGTATTTCTTCAATGTCAATGCGTCTTTCGTGTAGCTTTCCGTGATCATCAGCCTGAAAATTTGGTAGAGAGTTAATGATGCGCCCATCTATGGAAATTAATTTATTACCTTTCGACTCCGTCCTTTTTATAGTATTCGTCCAAGATGCGCCTGAAATCGGCTAAAATGTCGAAATTTTTGTCCTGGTCCGCGGTGTAGACGTGCTTCAAGGAGCTGTAATCTGTGACCGGCACTCCGGGTGCAATCGGCGGTTCGTCCCTAAACGCCTGGTCCTCCCAAAGAGCGAATGCCGAGTCAACAACGAATCCATCTACGCCCCGTTGGAGCCAAAACCTGAGGACATCCTTCAAACAAATAAATACAGGTTATATCGTCGCAGGTAAATGTCGTGCTAATCCTTCAAAAAAGGCCCTACCTCCATTTTCCCCATAACTTCGGGGTTGCTGTAGTTGAGGTCGGGCTGCTGCGGAAGAAACTGATGCAGGTAAAACTGGTTTCGTTCCTTGTTGTAAGTCCAGGCGGAACCGTTTATCACCGACATCTACAATACCTTCGATTAGGGTTTCTATTCAAAATGTACCAACAAAAAAACAATACCCAGTTGTTGGGTGGCATTGCTTCGTTTGAGAAGAGCCCTGTCGGACCTGGGTCACGCCATACATAGAAATTCGTGTACGGCTCCTCTCGTTTGACCGATTTTTTGAACCATTCATGCTCTACGCTAGAGTGGTTCGGAACGAAATCAAGGATTATACGCATACCTGTAAAAAAAAACAAAAAAACTATAAGTTTCGTTTTAAATTTTTTTATGGATTCGTCTGTCACAGATTTGGTTTTATCGAAGGGCCTAGGGTCGGAACTCGTCTTACTGAGATTGTGGCATTTTTCTACCAGCAGTTTGAAGTCGTTCATGGTGCCGAAGTCCGGGTCGACGCCTTCGTAATCCGAGACGTCATATCCACCGTCGGCTTTCGACTCGGACGGGTAGAACGAGTTGAGCCATACCGCATCCACTCCTAGGTCTTTCAGGTACGGCAGTCTCGCTATCACTCCTGGGGAAAACGTTAGTTTAACATGACAACGTCTCTCGGGGGTATTTTCTTTTTACCTTTCAAGTCTCCCGTCCCGTTACCGGTTGTGCTTTGAAAGGACTTCGGGTAGACTTGGTATATGACGGAGTTCTTCCACCAGTGCGGGTCCTTCGCGTGTACTCCGCTCATGAGGGCTATCAGTCCGGCGGTGAATATAACAACTCGACATTTTAAATCCATCTGGAAAATCAATATTTAGTCTGTGCTGGAAAAGCACTCAAGCTTCGTCTTTCGACGCAGTGTGTATGCATTAACTTGTTCTACTTCAGAAATACCGATTTTACGTTATAGCTAGAAGGCGTTAAGCTAGGGAGAAATGTCTCATATTTAGAACAATCAAATCATTAAATCCAAATTTAAAAAAAATCTTTGACAAAAATATAGCTGATCTAATCTTTAGACTTAAGCCTTTTATTACAGAATCAGACAAACTGATATCAGTAGTAAAGAATGCCTTTTATCAGATGTAGTAAAGATTAACCAACGGAAACTGCTCAGTTGAAGAAAACAGAAAAGCGTCATTGATGTAGTACTCGATTTGGGAGTAAATAGCCCCGACCAAGCACATAAGAACTTTTGTGTACTAAACCCAAGGTAACGCACCTCCTGGGAATATAGTACTGAGGGATTCTGTTTGGCATAACTAACCTTTTCAGTTTGGTTTTGCAATCCCGTATTTCGAGCTGATTAGATTTCAGTACTCTGACGGCTGCTAGTAACGCTGGGTTGACGTCTTTGTATTGGTATTGTCTGTTCAGGTTAAATGAGACTTCGACTAGATAAGTAGACTATGTAGCTCATGGGGTGTGAAATTTAAATTTAAAACCCACCTTAGACCACCCATAGAAATCAGAGAACATAGCAGAGAGTGAATCTGTTCTGCATACCCAACCTTTTTAGTTTTACCTTGCCATCCAGTATCATTGTCGCGCCGATTAGAATATAAAAAAGATGTCTGCTTGGTTGATAGCTATGTTTTTTGTATTACCAGTTCTGGTTAAGTTGACTAGATCTCTCAATGTGTGGTCTTCGATAGAGAGATCATAAGCCCATGGTTTTTTTTAACATTCGAGTAATTCCTTAACATTAAACGCTAATGAGTGAGATCGGCAAGTGGAAATATTTCCGATCTGCATTGCTCAATTGTGGAAAACAGAAAAGTGACCTTGGCATCGAAACAGAGACTTGAGTACTTACGTTTTAACTGAAGCGGTCCCGATCGTTGACTGGCGGCCGGATTGTTTTTTCCTTCAAGTTTCGAGTATCGATTTCATGAACGGTGGGACAAAGTTATCTCCTTGGACAAACAAAGGCCATCATAATCTTATCGATGATTTGTGTCTCAATCGCAAATACTGAAATTAGAAATCGCCTACGAACAAAGGTTATTTGAAAATGGGCGTTTCCTCCGAGTGAAATATCAATGAGCGAAATGTCAAAAATCAAACAGGCGAGGAGTCAAAAAACAAAGATGTTCTCCTAGACACTTAGATCTTTTCTTAAAAGGTCAACTCATCAGATTGTGAAGCAAATGCTGAGTCCTCTTCCATTATTAAGTAGGATGGTATGTTATGCTAAACAGCATCCTGTTCTGTTCTTATAGTACACCAGTGAGTCCTAATTCAACGAAAAATTTGACTGTTTGACCCGGTTCTACAGGTTCGATTTCTTTCATGGTTGTTTTGACCCTGAAACCTTTTCTTCTACGTGTGTGCCACCACCGATAGTCGATGTGTTGGGTATTGCTCTGCCTTTTTGTCCTGACTCCAGTCATGTGCTGGTTGCCGATCTTCTTCAGATTTACTCAACAGTTCGAACCCTGTTAAAACTGACAGTCACCCCCTGATTCTCATTCGCTCATTCTGTAATGCTTCTTAGATCGCTCATATGGAGTGATTGAAATGGTCTCTTGGATTGGCTCCTTTAACAAGTCTCCTTTTCTTCTAAGGATCTATACAGTAACTTCTTCAAGGGGATTTTAGCCGAATTCAGTGCTCTGATGGCTCGCTCGCTTCAACTAGGTAGATACAACATACCTACAGGCTTTGAGTACTCAATTTGAGGAAAATATTCCAATCTGAGCACGTACGCGCTTATTTCATCAGGACAATGTAAAGCCCCTCAAGAGAACACTCCCCGATGACTGCTTGGTTCGCTGGATTAATAGGTACGCCCATGTTTTAGTATTCTCTGTTCAGATTAAGCCGGGTAGATGCCCGGACTTTGACTAGTTACGCACTTGGTATCTGAGTATTCGACCAACTATTTCTGGCATGTACGGCTTTCTTGTTCCTTGGACCCTAGGTTAGTAGTAACGTAAAACACCTCGACTCAAGTTTGAACGTCAATCATCATAATCAATGTCGCCTCCTCGTGCAGAAGCATCCGCCAGTGTTCTCTATCATTGTCTGGATTATGGTTAGGAGAGATGAACCACTTAAGATGGTCCATCTCTCCTAATACACTATCTCATGCCCTAGTCTCTTTTCCCGTCCGGGTCCGTTCGTTTGAACATTTTTATCTCGAAATGCCTCACTATGCGTAAGCTTAATCATTTAAAAACCTTTGGCAGATTTGTTAAGGTGCTTAAGTTTACGGTTTGTCCTCCCTCTCCAGACATTTTTCTCAAGGTCTTTTATAAGATCAACAACTTTTTGGTAAAATGTAAAAAGTAAGTAAAAAGTAAATGTACTAATATACTGATTAATCAAGCAGTTCGATATTTCAGTTACTATGGTGAAAGTTTCTGATGGTAAAAGAAAAGAAATTTGAGAGATTTCCTCATGGGATTAGATTAGATTATATATGAGCCGGCCTCTTTAGGACCAGCATTGGTCTATTAAGCATCTCCATTTTTAATCTAGAGCTCCTCGTTAAGTGAGGCTTTTTACCAGCCCCAAAGCTTTTTTAAGGGCTCCCGTGTGCATCAAGGGTTTCGCTTTCCCAGGATTAGGAATCTCAGACATAGACCTTCGCGCCAACAGAGGAGTTCCGCTGATTCTTCCTCTTCCTGGCACTATCTGCACAGGGTTGTTTCTGCCACTCCGAGTCCATACATATGCCTCCGGAGTCTGCAGTGTCCAGTTAGCAGTCCTTCTATTATTCTAATTCTAGCACGTCCAAGATTTTGTAGTTGTGCCGTTAGTTTGTGCGATAGTCCTTTGATAAACTTTATCGCATGACTATCCCAGGCTAAATTCTCATTAAACGGAGGACTTATTTTTAATCCATTATCAAATAGATCCGCGTTTTTGGCAATTTTGTAAGCCACAAAAGGGGGGTTAATGGAACTTTCCTTGGTCAATTCATCGACCTCTTCTTTGACCCCCTAGCTTATGTGTTCTGTACTCAGACATGGGTAATTTTGTTATATTCCAGAAGGTCTAATCTAATCTAATGTGCTCTGGGGATGATAAACATCTAGTTTGGTCTTTTCCGATCATTATGGTCCGTCTAGTCTCGGTATTTCGGTCTACCTTGTCTGGGCATTTCGCCACCTTCGGTGGTGAGTTTGAGTAAATGGAAGTAATGGAAAGAGTGGCATCACCCTGTTTATATCCTTGACTAAACATTGAAAAGGCGGAGGTAGAAGCATGATCAAAAGCAGCAAAAATACAAACTGGCCGAAATAGCGATGAAAGGTAGACAATGATCGTAGCAAATGATACTGCTGGAAAGAAATTTAAGCTGATGTGAGTTGGTCCGCATAATCTCGCGCTTTTCCAGCGTTTTTTCTTCGTGTCAGCCGGTTCGAGGGAAAGAACTGTCGTCGAGAGACCGAAAGCTAGTAAAATCTAGAATTATGAGCCCTTTTTTGGAGTGGCTGGGAGGAAGGAAAAGGCCATCGGTGGCCCCTCGCAATCTGGAAATATTGTTCAACACGCTCTGCCCTCCACTCGACACGCCCACCCCTGATTTATCGCCCCCGCCGGATATTTCGATTAATTTCCTCTCGGATCTTGAAAAAAAAAAAAGTGAGCGCGTGCCGTCGAGAACCTCCGGCCTTTTTCGAGACGAATGGGCGAATTTGAGGGCATCCGTGACGCATCCCTCGGGAACCGCTTCCTCCGCGGTTTCGATCAGACCTCTTTTGAAAATATCGGTCTATCGTTCATTACAGAGACGTCTAATGGCTTCAAAGGTGACTAATGATTTTACAGGGTTAAAACCGTGAGAAACGCTGTTAGTGCCGATTAAAAGGTGTAAAAATTTCTACCGGCCTGTGATAAATGATGCGCAAAGTGTTCGGGGCCTCTTTTTCTACCCTTGAAAATATTCCATGAATGCAGGGGTGCCCTGTCTAAAAAACACCCTGAAAATGTACTGATTTGTTTTTCAACACACACCAAATTAAAGCATCACTGGCAAAGAACATTTTCATTTTCATTCAGGCTGCTTTCGAAAATCTTGTCTTTCCACTCTTCAGAATAGCTGAACTGATATTGAGAGAGAGAAAGAGAGATATAGATAGATAGATAGATAGAGAGAGGGAGATAGAGAGAGAGAGTGAGAGAGAGAGGGAGAGAGAGTGAGTGAGAGAGAGGGAGAGAGAGAGAGGGAGAGTGAGAGAGAGAGGGAGAGAGAGTGAGTGAGAGAGAGAGAGAG